GTTCTTGATTACTTTTTGATAAATAATTCGTTCTTATTGCGAAATAGGAGCACTATTTATCAATCTGTAATAAAAGACGTGAGGAAATTCTGTCTATACAGGAATGCGGAATACCCAACAAGAAGTTTGTAAAAAAATGAATCCGCCTCAACAATATAGAACTTATCTACCTATTGGTATGTCTAAAAATACTAGTTTGATTTAAAAAAATGACTATGTTGAATTTTGACATTTCCGTGTTTTACATTTTTATTTTAAATTCAGATTTAAAAAACCTGAGCTAAATTAAACAACTTTTGTATTGGTCACTTTCAACGCAATTTTGTTGAAATAAACGATCTAGGGGAGGGTGTCACCTTATGAGGAAACACCCTGATTGATGCCACTCAATAACGAAACTGAGAAAAGTAACTAATTTTCCCGATTTATCGTTTATATTCCCCGAACTTTTACAACTTCAACCAATCGCAGACATGAATCAATTTGAAAATGGCGTCTGAACTAATGACGTCACTGCCAAAACGCCTGGGACGAACTTTATCTACTGCTCGTTCAGGGCTCCGGTTACTTTACCGCTCTCTTTGCAATCGCAACAGATCGCACAAAAGGCGGAACATGAAGCAACCGACAAACGCTGTTGCAATCATGCGAAGTGTGCGTCTGTTTGTGCGTATTCAAATGAAGAATTGAGGATTCTTCGATTCGACCCGATTCCTAAGCAAACACGCGCGTGATGCTGTGCAGAAATGCAGTTGCAATCCGGTCCCGCTTGGTTTTTCGAGCGAGAGGATAGTGAGAATGCTGACGACTACGCAAATAACGCTAATTAAATTGCGGAAAGATGCAAATAAATGTGCCTTTCTCTCCCGAATAACCTTTGATTCGGCGAATATTTGGCAATTTGATCGATTAAGCACAGCATTGGCGCGGTTCCGTAGCGGAATTTACTAATCACGAAAATACTGATGGGTTGCAGGTGTCGGCATTTTCCTGCGACGGACGCACCTCCGGCTACTATGCCGATGTATCCACAGGGTGTCAGGTATATACGAAATTCAGTTGATCTCCTGCAAATAATGCCGTGCGCTTTCGCCCGCAGGTGTACCACATGTGTGACGGTCTGGGGCGCCAATTCAGCTACAGCTGCCCCAGCAAGACGCTGTTCCAGCAACGGATGCTGATCTGCGACCACTGGTATATGGTGAACTGCAGCAAGGCGGAGGAGGACTACAGGTGAGGGAGGAGGCAAAGCCAGAAAACAGGCATTGAATGATGTTTTTCTGCACTTAGCGCCAACCTGCTGATTGGACAGCAGGGTCGCGCTTTTATCGAGGACCAGGTCCATCGCACCCCCAGGCCCGATCTGGCTCGTCCAGAAACGACGGACGTGCACATTTTTAAGGCGCAGCAAATCACCCCCCAGAACGTAGTGGGTGCGTACCAATTCACTCCCTCTCAGCCGATTGACAACCAAATAAACCTTAAAACCCGTAACCCAGTTTCTCGTCGAAGGAACTTTACAACTCCCATTTTCCAATTAAAGCAACGCTTTTCTAGCCGGCAAAGTCATTGAACTGGATCTTGGTCACGGAAATCCTTGATCTTATGGGGGGGTTTTAACGGAAATCGCAATTCCTCATACTCCAGGTGCTTAGCGGGAATCAGTTGGCAGCTCATTGAGGATACTTTGATTTAGCACATATATAAAGCCTCCAGTGTTTTCACGAACTTTTACGACATAAACGCAGAGGTTTTGAAACACGTTTACGTTTGACTGGGGATTTTTTTCGAATTATCTTGGCAGCTTACGGACGCAAAATTGACGATTTAAATAAAGTGCACTATCGCATTAAAAACTCCGCATTTTCCGAACTAAAGTCAGCAGCAACTTGAAATTTTCATGGTCTTTATAAATCAGTTGAGTCTAAAGATGCCAAAAGTTTTAATAACCGCTGGAAGTCCAGAGCTTTGCCAGCTTATCAACTATTGATCTCCTAATGAAACAGGCAGGAATTTTATATTTTTACTATATTTACAAGATTGCTGACACTGAAGATCCAAAAAAGTTTATAAAATTGAGGTAAATTCTGAATTTTTCGAGCTTCCAAGTATCGTCTTCATAGGACGGTTTTCCGCAACTGCACTCTCTCCTTTAAAAAATCTCTTATTTCAATCTAAAGCAGACAGGAATTTAAGATCGCGATGTCTCGAAGATGCTTGACTCTACCGGTGTTGAAAGTGTCATAAAAACTACTCGAAATTCTGATTTTTTCTAGCTTAGCAAATATCGGTATTCTAGTAGACTTTTTCCTCAACTGCGCCTTCTCATCAAAAAATTTGTATCTTCCAAACGCAAGCAAGCAGCTATCTGAAATTTTCACAGTTTTTAGCAGATTCTTGACTAAAGATTTTATAACTTTTGATAAAGTTTTATCAAAAGTTCAGTAAAACCTGGTTTTTGCTAGCTCAGCAAATATCGGTCTCATAACGGACGCTTCTACCCACCTGCATGCTCTCTTTAAAAAAAAATTGCATAATTCAAAGCAAAGCAGGCAGAAATTTGAAATTCACACACAAAACACAGAAAACAGTTGACTCCAAATATTTCATCACCGCAAAATTTGATTTTTTCGGGTTTAGCAAATATCGGACTTCCAACAGACGCTTTTAATCAATTGTTTAAAAAATCGTATCTTAAAAATGGAGGCAGGTAGCAACTTGAAATTTTCACTATCTTTAGAAAGCACGTGACGGTAAAACTCACAAAAGTTTCACAGAAATCCCAGGTAATTTTTATTTTTAGCCAACTATACTCCCTGCTTAAAAAATTCGCGTTTTCTAAACAAATTAAAACTGATATTATTAGAAACTACTTGACTGTGAAAACCTAGAAAGTCTTGTAAAAATCGACGCAGATCCTGATTTTTGCCAGTTTATCTTATCGGTCTTAAAATGGGCGCTTTTACCGAACTGCACTTTCTCCTCAAGATCATCGTGTCATTTAAACTGAAGCAGCCGGAAATTTAAAATTTTCACAATATTTCCAAGACACTTCGTTCTAAAGATTCTAAAAGTTTCATAAAAACACTGGACAATTTGACTTTGTCTATCTTAGCAAATATCGGTCTTCTAATGGTCGCTTTTACCCAACTGCACTCTATTCTTTAAAAAATCGCATCATCTGAACTAAAGCAGGTATCAACTTGAAATTGTCACCATATTTAGAACGCAGATGGCTGTAAATACCCAGAAAGTTTAAAATAAATCGTCTGAAATTCCAAGTTTTTCGATTGAAGAAATATCGGTCTCAGAATGGAGGCTTTTACCCAACTCACTCCCTTTTTAAAAAATCGTATACTGCAAACTAACGCAGATAGGCATTTGAAATTAAAATCATCCTTAGAAAATAGTTGACTCTAAGGATCCTAAAAATTTTTCATAAAAATTACTGGAAATTTGGAAAAACAAAAAAAGGTTTTCTCGCATACTCAAGCTCAGCAGATATTCTCCTAGGAGCGGCATTTAGTCAACTGCGAGCGCTACTTAAAAAATTCTTAACTTCCATACTAAGGTAACTTGACATCAGAAAACGTCACTATTTTTAGAAGAAACACGACCCTAAAGATGGTCAAAGTTTCATAGAAATTGCAGAGAATCTTGATTTTTGCCAGCTTACGAAAATCGATCCAGCTACCAACAGGGCGATTTCCGTAAAAATATCGTAGCTTCCAAACTAAAGCAAGCAGTTATCTTGAATTTTTCAAGTTTTTAGCAGATACTTGGATCTAAAGATGGTTGAAGTTCCATAAAAATTCTAGTAAATCTTGATTTTTTCTGGCTTAGCAAATATCTGTCGTTAAATTTACGCGTTTACCCAACTGAACTCTCTATTTAAAAAAAATGTACAATTCAAACTAAAGCAGGCATTAATTTGATATTCACACCCTGTTTAGCAGACAGTCGATTCTGAAGATCTTGAAAGTTTCAAAAAATTCATCGAGCTTGGCGATTATCCGTTTCATAATGGACGCTTTTATACAACAATACTTAATACTGTGCCCAGGGGCGGATGGATCGTCCAGCGAAGCTGATGGCGACTACAACCCGCCGACTCACTGGGCTTTGGAGCAGGCAGCTTCCAGTCCAGCTTCGCGCAAACGGCAAGACAGCGGCAGCGCTGTCCAGGGCTTGGTCAAGCAGAGCTACTACCGGACAAGTTACGGAAACAAGGCAGCTGAAGCTGCCCCAAGCAATGCGGCGAACTTCCCTTCGCGCTTCAAAGCGACCACTCCGGTCTACCCCGAGCACCTGGACATCGACCTGTCCAAGCTCCAGGACTTTGGCGCGACTGCCCCGGATGAGCTGGTGAAATTCCCGTCGAAGTTCCAGGGTAAGTAAGCTGGCCGCACCCACACAACGGGTTATTGAAGGGCGTTTCTCCAGCCACCACCCCAGTGTATCCCCAGCGAGTCGATCAGGACCCTGCCAAAGTTTCTGAGTTTGATGTGCCAGCAGTTGTGAACTTTCCTTCACATTTTCAAGGTAATTTTGTAAAATTCTCGGGATTTTCAAAAGCCGTTGTCCCGCCCACAGCCACTACGCCCGTGTACCCCACGCGCGTGAACGTCGATCCATTGAAGCTGTCCGAGTTCGACCTGCCGCCCGACGACAACGCTCTCCCAGACTCGGTTCCCGTGAATTTTGCATCGAAATTCAAAGGTTGGGCACTCCATTCCTGCCCCCATACCCCTTGCAATTTTGGGGATTTTCCAGCCACCACGCCAGTCTATCCAGAGACGGTGGACGTGGATCTGTCCAAGTTTGCGGGCGATGAGGAGCAGCCGCCCGACCTGCAAACCCGGGCTGATGTGACGGTGAATTTCGCCTCCAAGTTCCAGGCCACCACGCCGGTTTACCCGGCACACGTGGATCTGGACCTGTCCAAGTTCCAGGAGCCGCTGGAGCTGCCTGCAAACAACTCGCTGGTCAATTTCAGGTCAGCCTTCCAAGCCACCACGCCGGTCTACCCGGAGTCTGTGGCTTCCACTTCGCCTGTGCCGGAAGACGTCGGGCTGTTGCCCCCCAAGCGCAACAGCAGCGCGAACTTCGCCTCCAGCTTCAAAGCGACCACGCCGGTGTACCCGCGGAGCGTCGCGGCCACCAGCCCAGACCCCAGCAAGGTGGGCCTGCTGGCGCCGGAGGCTGATGGTGAGCCCCCACAATAGGCCTGGGTAACTCAATTTCTTGTTGAGTTGGCGCAGTGCTACGCAGGATTTTTCCAGTTTTAGCCAAGTTACTCTTTCTGCTGAATTCTCAATTTTCTAAAGTTTCACTTACAAATGTTGACAATCTTCAGGTATTTTCCAGCGTCAAATTTGGAACAAAAATTAAATAATTTTCTATCAAAAAACGAACAGAATAAGAGAAGGTTTCTAACAGATTATTTGGAAATCTCGTCACCTCCATTGCTCTGAAGACTGTAGAGTTTTTTCTTTAATGTGGTTTTTTAGCTTTGGTTTCTACTCAAAAACGCTCTATGTTGTAGAGTTTGACTTAAAAATACTGACGATCTGGATGTATTTTACGCGAAAATTTACAAGATGTATTCATAGTTTTGTTCCGTTGCTGGGATAATGTTGATTACTTTTTCACTTGTTTTTAGATTGATTTTAAGGGCTATGTATTAATAATATTTTTAACATTTCTTCAAAATATCAGAACTTTCCAGTTTCAGCCAAGTTCTTTTTACTACAATTAAAAATGCTGCCAATCTTAAGGTATTTTTCGCGAAAAATTATGAAATACATTTTATTAGAAATCGCGCCTCCTTCGTCGCTTGCAAAAAGTTTGGAAATCCCTTTTCAGCTTCGAACTTGGGACAAAACGTAAAAAACCAACTGAATGAGCGAAATTTTATAATAAATTATTTGGAAAACTTGTCGCTTGCTTTGCTTTCTACTGAAAAACGCTGTATTTTGTAGTTTTACGTTAAGGTTTTCGCAAAAACCGATCACAAAACTAAAAGTTTTAAATCAAAAGCTTGTTTGAGATTTATTTTAAAAACCACTTATTAATAATATTTTTAAAATGTCTTCAAATTTCAGAATTTTCCAGTTTTAGCCAAGTTACTCTTTCTTCTAAATACTCAATTTCCTAGTTTCGCTTAAAAATGCTGACAATTTGGAGGTCTTTTACGCGAAAAATTACAATATAAATCTATAGCTTTGTAAAAATTTTACAAAAACCTTTTCAGCGTCAAATTCGGGACAAAAAAGAAAATCTCTCCCGTTTTGCCCGAAAATCGTTAAGATTTTCTCAAAAACCAATCACAAAACTAAAAATGTTGAACCAAAAACGCAAAAAATATAATTTTCTGATTATTTTCGGCTATAATTTTATTCAGTTTTTTTACCGAAGGTAATTAAGATTATCTTGAAAATACGGCCAGAGAGCAAAAGTTTCCAGAAAAATTACTTGGAAAATTCGCCACCTTCATAGCTCTTCTATTACGCAATTATTTCTATACAACAAACGTGTTACTTTTAGTTTTACTTAAAATATTGACACTCTTCAGGTAATTTCCGTGAAAATTATAAATTAAATTTAATTGGAACACGCGGCTCCTGAACAGCTCTGTGATTTTTTTTCTGGAACCTTTTGCAGCTTCGAAATTTGGTGAAAACCCTAATAATTTTTCCTGGATTTTTTCCCAAAAATATTTCCCCGAACAGAACAAGTGAAAGTTTATAATCAATTATTCGAAAAACTCGTCACTTTTGCCGCTGTGAATAATTTGGTTTATTTAAATTCCGGTTTCTTCACTTTTAGGTCAATTTTTGTTAGATGCTAAAATTCCGCCATCGGCAATGAGTTATAACTCATTAACCAGTGAGTTAAAACTCATTAACTCAGAGAGCGGCAACAACTCAAAAGCGCGACTTAACAAAGTGTTACCCAGTCCTAATAGGGACTGTTTTTTAGAGGCAATAATTGTGAAGCTCTGGCCCTTGCAAATAAAAATCTCAAAAAGTGAAAGTATATATTAAAATTGAAATTAAAAAAAATATTTCAACAATAGAGCAAGAGAAAGCTTATAATCAATTATTCGGAAAACTCGTCACTTTTGTCGCTGTAAATCATTTGGTTTATTTAAATTCCGGTTTCTTCACTTTTAGGTCAATATTTCTAAACAAACCCCTCTCCAAACAGAACAACGCGTTTTTCCTAACGTTTTACTGTAAAATACTGGCAAACTGAGAATGTTTTATGCAAAAAAGTTAAAAGATGGATTTTACAAGAAAAGTCGTCGTCTTTACAGTTGGTCTTCTTTATCGTCTTTTTCGTCTCACGACACTCTCATCACAAAACACTCAAATCACTTGCGTGTTTTCAGCCGAGTCGATTAATCCGAGCTTGGACATCCAGCCGCCGAGCTTTGCGACGACTTTCAAACGGCGCAGCGATGAGGAGGAGCCGTCGCTGCTCGGCAACACCTTCAGCGGTCAGCAACTGACTGAATTCATGCTCACCATCAAACCCGAGCAGCTGAAGGATCTGAAGCAGCTGTGGCACATTCCGGATTACGACTTCCCGCTGGACACCGCGTCCAGACCTGGATATGCAGCCGATGCCGCCACCAGCACCGCGTGAACCCCCGGAGGGTCTGTTTAAGAGGGGGTTGTATAACACGTACGTTCAAAACGATTTGTCTTGTACAACTCGCGCTTTTACTCCATATTTGATTAGAACATGTATATACTTCCTGGGTTGTTTAAGACATTGTACATAAACGTAGTTCCTTTAACCAGTGGCTTGAGTACTTTTAAATACGCCTGGGTAACTGAATGAATTTTTAGGAGTTGGCGCAGTGCCAAGCAAATGGTTTAGTGCGCCAACCAAACGCACCGGCGCAGCAACTCGGTTCTGTTGCTGGGAAAATGTTGATGACTTTTTTACATGTTCTGAGATTTATTTTAACGGCCATTTACCAATAATATTTTTAACATTTCTTCAAAATTTCCAGAACTTTCCCGTTTTGAACCAAATAGTTTTAAGCAATATGTTGATGGCTTTTTTTATTAGATGTTAAAATTCGGCCACCGGCCATGACTCATTATACAATGTGTTAAACTCATTAACTCAGAGAGCGGCAACAACTGAAAAGCGCAACTCAACACAGTGTTTCCCAGGTCTACTTTTTAACCAGGATTCTGGAGCTTTTCTGCTCAACCGGTTCTCTAAATATAGATTCTAAAAATTGCAGAAACCAGACCAGAGCCGTTTAATATTTCCGACTCCAATACAGTTAAATAAAAATAAAATCAAATGTACAAGGTGAGTGGACGCTACCTCAGGTTGTGGAACTGTTTGGCGGGCAATGGGGCGCTGAGGTGGCGCACCACCTTGGGCATCAATTGCATCTTGGCCATGATAGACTTGGGAATGCTATCGGTGTCTCTGTAGTTCACCACTTGGCCGTCGGGGTACTGGTAGCGCACGTGGTGCTTGCCGTCCACCCACAATTGGGCGCCGTCATGGTACTGCACCTGAAGTTCGCCATTGGCCAGCTGGATGGCGGTGCCCACCCCCGGTACCACGATGGCTTTTTGCTTGCCCAACGAGTTGCCGCTGGCGAATGACGGCTGTAAAACCAAGTCAAAGTTAAATTTACGCTGCGTTCAACACTCCCGCTACGCACCAGCGCCGATCTGGAGATGTTTTCCTTGCCGCATGTCGCTGAAAGGGCAGCGGGACGCCGGCCGACTATGATGGGAAAGTTGGTGCCCTGCAGCCTGGAGAGAGTCTGTTCGAGGGCCAAACTGTGCTCGAAACACTCTTGGCAATGCTGCCACATGAGTTCCAAAGTGCCGGTCAAGTTGCGACACTCACCAGCCGCTGGAAAGCTATACTTGAGCCCCGACGGTTCTACCAGACTCACGCCTTCCGTGGTGGATCGCGTCACTTTGCCACCTGCAAAACTTGCTTTTAAGCTCATAGCTACAGGGCCCCACAATTTGTCATTTCGCATCCACTACTCACCTTCGTAGAAGCACACCTCGAAGTCGACCAGGTTCTCCATCAGCAGACACTTGGCCTTGTCGCTGTAGAATGTGACTTTGGGCGTTTTTGCTCGCACCAATTCCACAAACTTGAAGGCGTACATGTACTTTTTCCAGTGCTTCTCTGGCAGATTCTCGATGCTGTAGATTCGGTCTGCGCCCTGCTCGGGCAGAGGCGCGGGCTCCGAGGACGGAGTTGCCCCTCGGCCACCTTCCGGTTCGTACATGACGATCCGCAGACCATCAGGTGAGATCCGCATGATCTCGCACACAAGCTCCCTTTTCAGGCTGCCCTTCTTCTTGATGAACTCCACGGTGACTTCGCCGTCGTCTTGGATGCTCAGAATGGCGTTTTTTGTCTGATGCCGTGTCGGCAGCAGTCGGTGCGAGCAGAGCTGGATCAGAGTCTGCGACTTTTCGACGCCGCCCATCGGCTTGTTGCCGCTGTGATAGCGGGGCAGAGCCAGCGAAGTTTCCTGCGAAAGGCACATGTTCTCTAGGCGGTTTCCCAGCGAGTTTGAGCACTGCGATAGGAGCGGGGTTGTCTTGGTGGGGATACCGGCCAGGATTTGGCTGGCGCTGTGACCTGAAAGCCCACCGCCTCCAGGATCGTTCGGATGATAGCAGTTGTTGCTGTATTGGCTAGGGCTTGCAGGAACGTCCTGGTATTGGTCCCTGCTGAAATGGGGCGGCTGATGGTGGGCGTACTCCATACTGTGGGTTTGTCGATTGGACGGCATCAAGTTGGGCTCGCATGGAAAACAATCGCTGCTGGCTTTCCGAAAGTGTAGCATGTTGGAACTGTAGCTGCTCGGGAGGGCGCCATCGCTAAAGGCACTGTCCCGCCGACTGGACATCGTATGAATGCCGCTGTCCTGAGTCAAATTGGTGCTTAACACCTGAAACCAAATTCTTCCAATTCACGGCTACACGCACATCGAAGCCAACTGACTATATTCCGTTTGATAAAAGGATGCTCGAGAATTTGCTCCAGTCCTATGCGATCCTTCGGATTCTTCTGCAGGAGGGAGTTGATCAGATCCTTGGCCTCCGGCGATAAATGACTAGGCAGGCTGTAACTGGCCATTACAACTCTAGTCAGAGTGCTTTTGACGCCTACCGATAGAAGAATAAACTGCCGGAACTGTACTTAAACAAACCCATTACCGTTAGTTTCAAAGGGCGGCAAGCCCACGAGTAAAGTGTAGAGCAGGCAGCCCAGTCCCCACACGTCCACTTCCAGCCCGTGAGAGCCTCTGGTTGCCACTTCTGGCGAAATAAAGTTGGGAGTGCCGCACATGGTGCGGTGCTTCTCATCTGGGCGGCTCAGCTGCGTGGCCAGGCCAAAATCCGCAATTTTCTGCAAACATACGCAAATGAAAAGGAGCAGCTTGCGGGTAAATTCCAGCTTCATACCACTTGCATATCTTTGGTGAGCAGCAGATTGGAAAGGGAAATGTCGCGGTGAAGAATGCTGTGAAAGTGCAGGTACTTGATGCCTTCCACCACCTGCTTCATCACGTTGCTCACTTGGCTCTCGATGAGTCTCTGAAATCAGCCACAACTAAAACAACCGTCCCCCAAACGCGAGTTTACTCTGTACTTTTCTCTTGGTGTACTGTTGTAATTCGCCGTTGTGGCATAGCTCCAAAATCAAGTACACGTAGTTGGCGTCCTCAAAAAATGTATAGAGCTCCAGTATAGAGGGATGTTTCAGCCTGGAGTGGATGGACACTTCCTGTTGCACTCGTCCAACCATGCCTTCTGCTTGCATCAGTTTCTTGTCGATCTAAAACATGCAACATGAGAAGAGCTTTCCAGCCAACCAAACAACCACTTACCATCTTAATGGCCACATCTATGCCAGTCTTGCGACACATTGCCCGATAGACGGAGGCGAAGCCGCCTTTGCCCAATAACTCGTGGACTTCGTAGTCCTAAAAAACACCACTTACAAAGCATCTTTTGGGAGGAAAGAACCGACTCCCTGGACAGGGACGTGGAACACTGAGGGCTTTTAAGCCCTGTTTTCGTGGTACAAACAAACGCAAACTAACCTCAATCTTATCACTGAACGAATATCGTGAGTTCATGCTGCACAGGACTGCTAGGCTGAAGGCGGCCGATTCTCACTGGGCTGCGGGAACTATGAGGTATTTTTCAAACGGTAAATGCACAAGAACATCTAAATTTTCAACCAAATTCGAACATATCAACAGTTGAACTTTCGAAATGTTTGTTGTGATCGATTGTTGCTGGCAACCGTCAAGGGCGTCAAGCGCTCTGTGGATTTGCAGTGTTGCTAACGCAAAATAGAACAAATAATGGGCGCGGTTTGCAAGGAAACTAACCGCTGTAAAATATTAATTGTTTTATTTGTATAAATAAAATCGTTATTTGAACAGCACAACAAAAACTAGTGATTATAACGAATAGTAACTGATGCTTGGCGAGAGCGGTTAGTTTTTTATGGGTAAATATCGAATAATTTGCGGATAGAGGTTTTTTAAGCAATCAGCCCCAGTAGCCAAGATAATTGTTAAATAGCCTCATAGGCAGTGTCGATTGGGGGACTGCTGGTGCCATTCAGAAACTCCTCCAACTCATCACGTCGAGACACCGCCTCCGCTTTGGATCTTCTTCGGTGCTTCTTCTCGCCCTTGGGCCGCTCATCCTTTTTCTTCTTGTGCTTCTTATCAGTCTGTAATTACACGTTTAAGGCTCCCTTGTCACACCTGATTGGCCCATCAGCTACCTTCTCTTTGTGCTTCTTGTCCTTTACCGAGCTGGACGTGTGCGTATCCTCGCTCTCGCTCAGCACGCTCGCATTGCCCGAGCTGGGCGTCTTCCTGGACGTTAGCAGCTCCATGTGCACGTTGGACGACGTCACGGAAATACTGTCGTTGTCCATGTTCTGGCTGACCATGGACGTGTCCTCACCCCCTGCAACCAGCCATTAAACGTTTGTTTACCCCATGCAAAGCACTACGAACCTTCAGGAGAGCGCCGCCACTTGGAGTCTGGCGCCGACCATCCATCGTACACATCGGAGGTCAGCTCGGAAATCTCCGAATTTATGGTGGAATCAAACTCGTCATTGGTGTGCTTCATGTCGTAGTCTTCCGGGATGGTTTTCTCCACCTAGTCAACCCGGTCAGTAACGCGTTTTAATAGAGCCACTGCTCACCTCAAGTTCGCTGCTGCCGTCCGACTTGGGCGCTTTGACGGCGCAGAAAACCTCCAGTTTCTTCGCTACCTTTATTGGCTTGGAGGCCGCCGGCTCCTCCGGATCGAAGTCCTCCTGCAGCTCCGAAACCAGTGGATTGCCCGTGTCAGTGTCCCTGAAAAATCATCACTGAGCACCAACCAAGGGACAAGTTCTCAACCTACGAGTCAGTCTCTTCATGCTCAATGACTCTGGAGGCGCCCTGGAACTGAACGTCGTCCAGAAAGCCGCCCAAGTGCCCGCCCTCCGGGCAAAACTCGTCCACCGACGTGATCGGGTTGATGTCCAACTTACGGAGATCTGGAAGAGCGCCGAAGCCGCTGCTCATGCTGGCGCTCTTTCCCACAGCAGCCGTTTTTGTGACAGTTTGCGCCCCATTGTCGAAAGGAATCGGCTTTCCTACAAACCCGCCGGCATTAGATTTTAGCGCGAAACACTCATATCAACAGGGCTCTCACCGCCGCCTATCACAATCGAGCAGCTCTGCGATCGTCGCATGTCTGCCCCCTCAGCGATCAGGGGCGGCGGAATGTTCGCATTGGAGTCGGCTACTTGTCGGCGCTTTTTCACTAAATTGTCCAGGAACTTGGCATAATTGGCCTCGTCCGATTCGGCGTAAGAATCCAGCTCCTGCAAAACAAACCCTGCATGTAGAAAATGCCCCGTTTGCTTTGCACCTGCAGCTCACTTGGCTGGTGGCCAGGGTTTCGCGCTCGTTTCTCTCAATCTGACGCAGCAGCGACTCCTTCTGTAGCTGCAGGAACGGGAGGTTGAAGAATTTGTGCAGCAGTTTCAGGCCGAAACCGTTGCGCATTGATGCCTCAGTGTGTCGCACTTGAGCCGACCGTGTCCTAGAAGCCAGGGTTTTATGAACGTCTGAACGCGTGCTCGAACTCACCCCGAAATGGACTCGATGTAGAAGTTCACATGATCAGCAGTCACAGTCCTGTGATGCGACATGTCGCAATGGTTAGACAAAATGATGACTGGAATGTGGCCTGAAAGTGAGGCTTAGTGGGCGCGAGCATTGGGCAGCTTGATATTCAGTTACTTGGAATCTTGGGCAATTCTCGTTGGACGTAGTCAAAAGTCCAGCTTTTCGTCAGATCCAGCACGATAATCACACCATTGGTGCCCTTGTAGACGTCCAGAAATTCCGCATCTAAGGCTGCTTCTTCGGGCATGTCGAGCTGGGCGTTATCAAGCTTAAGGCCGTCGAGATGCTTCTTCTTTTTCCCTGCAAGGCTCCAATATACTCATGCAATCTCGCTTTCGATCAACTACCCTTGTCCACAACGTCCCAAACCTCCACTTTGACCACATCGTCTGTCGCTTTGTAATTCCATTGGATGGACGTGGCCTGGATTTCATCCGTTGGTATGTACTCTTCGATGAACCGCTTTCCTTGCAGCCGGTGAAACAGGCAGGTCTTGCCCACATTTCGGTCCCCTTTAATCACGATCTTCACTACAATTACAAGAAATGTTTGAGGGAGGCTCGACACAGTGGAGCTGGTATTACTGTTATACTGCACTCCTTTGGCGAACTTTCGCTGCAGCGAAGAGGACATGGCCTGCACGTTGGACGGCATTGAAGTGTTGCTGCTTGCAGCTGCATCTCCCTTGCTGGTCAGTCTCTTGATGGCTGAAAACATTCTGGCAGTGGGCCCCCAACAACTCCTGGCATATACTCTGGTGATCGATTTTTGATGGCCTTCAGGCCCACACTCTGCACATTAAACGCAACTGATATCTGCACATTTTCTCCACAGTTTTAATTGATTATTATCCTAGTGTAGCTTAGTTGATTGACAATCAGCTGATTACTGGTTTGTGATTGCTGGATGCGATTTTAGGTTAGTGCCTACCTGAATCGCTGGACAGTGTTGTGGAACACTATTGCATTCAGGATTAATTTGGGCAAAAGCAATAGGATATTGAATGGTCTGGGGGACGAAATCGGGCACTCGGCAACAGGGCAAGCAGTTGTCAGTTGCCTAAATATTGAGTTTATTTAGGGATTGAGTTATAGTTTTTCCTAGATAAATTCGTTGTTTTCTAGTGAAACTTTAGGATTTCTACTGCTGCAGCTTCCCCAGTTCGGTCTGACCATGGCGTTGAAGAACCAAGTGGGCCAAAGTGAGTAAACACCTGCAACTGGGACCAGAGGAAGTTTTGGGGCCGATCAATATTCTTATCAGTGGCTGCTTTTGGGTTTCCGTGTGGTGTTGAGCGAGGTATCTGCACTGAGGCAGGCCTCTGCCTCAGTGCAGGCCTATGGAGCCAAATAAAGCTGCAGAAATGGACAATTTTTTTTCATTTATAAAACGAGCCACCCACTGCAGGCCTGTGACTCATGTTGCGCTTACTAATACACCTAGTCGATTAGCCGGGGTAACAACGGATGATTTATTACAGAAATAATGAACGAGGTGATCAAGTACAAGCCGCCGTCGAAGAAAAATGGGACTGCAGGGGGCAAATTGGAGTGGCGCGTCCTGGTCGTGGACAAACTGGCGATGCGAATGATCTCGGCCTGCTGCAAGATGCACGACATTTCGGCCGAGGGCATAACATGTAAGTCTATCCGACCCTGCCAGGGACTGATTGATGTTAGGGCTCGTTTTCCGGTTAGTGGTGGAGGACATCTTCAAGACCAGGGAGCCCCTGGCTACCATGGATGCGGTCTACCTGATCACCCCTTGCAAGGAGTCGATTGAGGCCCTGATGCGCGACTTTGACGGCATCAAGCACATCATGTACAAGGCGGCCCACGTCTTCTTCACGGAAGGTAGGGCTGCGCCCGATCGCGGGGCCCAGTTAATCTGGTTATCTTGTAGCATGCCCCGACCAGTTGTTTAACGACCTGTGCCACCACACAGTAGCTAAATACATAAAAACCCTGAAAGAAATCAACATTGCCTTTGTGCCAAGCGAAGCTCAGGTATTAAACGCGGGGCTCGAGTCGGTAAACTAATCTGCTGTGTGCTTGTACTAACACTGGTGGCGGCTTTCCCCTATCAATTCATTCCTGTATTTATTTCGTGCTTTGTGCAGTCTGCCCGGAGGAATTGTTCAACGAGTTGTGCAAGTCCTGCGCGGCAAAGAAAATTAAGACCCTCAAGGAGATCAACATTGCCTTTTTGCCTTATGAGTCTCAGGTGTGTGTGTGTTTGCTTGTTCTCGATTGCTGCTTAAATGGGTATCGGTAGGCCTGGGTAACTCAATCAATTTTTAGGAGTTGGCGCAGTGTCACGCACATGGCTTGGTGCGCCAGCTCAACACACTGGCACAGTAACTTTGCTTTACTTGTTGATGACTTGTTTTTAGATTTATTTTAAGGGCCATTTATCAATAATATTTTTAACATTTCTTCAAAATATCAGAATTTTCTTGTTCTAGCCGAGTTGCTCTATCTTCTAAATACTCGATTTTGAACCAAGTTTCCAGAAATCGTCTGCGCAAAAGCAATATGTTGATCGCTTTTTTTGTTAACTGCTAAAATTCCGCCACCGGCTATGCGTTATAACTCATTAACTCAGAGCGGCAACAACTCAGCACAGTGTTACCCAGGCCTAGTTGCGGTGAACACTCAGTTTGGCCAATGGGCGCATTTCCGTAAATTGCCTGGTTCGCAGGTGTTTTCCCTGGACTGTGCCGAGACGTTCCAATGCTACTACAACCCGGCCTACGCCCAGAAGTATGGCGCCAACCTGGAGCGGATGGCCGAGCAAATTGCCACCCTTTGCGCCACATTAGGCGAGTACCCGTCGGTTCGCTATCGCAGCGACTGGGACAAGAACGTGGAGTTGGCGCAGCTTATTCAGCAGAAGCTAGATGCTTACAAGGCGGATGAGCCCACCATGGGCGAGGGCCCAGAGAAGGCGCGCTCCCAGCTGCTGATTCTGGACCGCGGCTTCGACTGCGTCTCGCCCTTGCTGCACGAGCTTACTTTCCAAGCCATGGCCTACGATCTGCTCAACATCCAGAACGACGTCTATGAGTGAGCGTCGAAGGTTTTTAGCGCTGAACTGTGAAGAATTTGTACCCAAAAACAGGTATGAAGCATCGGTCGGCGTCAAGAAGGAGGTGCTGCTGGACGAGAATGACGAGATGTGGGTGGAGCTGCGTCACCAGCACATCGCCGTTGTGTCGCAGAGCGTCACCAAAAACCTGAAGAAGTTCACCGACTCGAAGCGGATGACCGCCAGCGACAAGCAGTCGATGAAGGACCTCTCGACGATGATCAAGAAAATGCCGCAGTACCAAAAGGAGCTGTCCAAGTACGCCACCCACCTCCAGCTGGCCGAGGACTGTATGAAGCAGTACCAGGGCTATGTGGACAAGCTCTGCAAAGTCGAGCAGGTGATTGCATTGCTCCTGCTCCGCCCCTGAACCTGGGTGACAATGTTTGCTTGGTAGGACTTGGCCATGGGCACCGATGCAGAAGGCGAGAAGATCAAGGATCACATGCGCAACATCGTGCCCATTCTGCTCGACCCGAAGATCTCTGAGCAGTACGACAAGATGCGCATCATAGCGCTGTATGCGATGATCAAGAACGGGATCACCGAGGAAAACCTGCAGAAGCTGGCCACCCATGCCCAGATCGCCCAGAAGCAGACCATCTCCAACATTCAGTACCTGGGGGTGAACGTGGTGAACGATGTGAGTGAATCAGGTGAGAAGTTTGTTTCGTTTTCACCGCCAGATGGTTTGCAGGGCGGCAACCGCAAGAAGCAGTACACAGTGCCGCGCAAGGAGCGAATCACCGAGCAGACCTATCAGATGTCCCGCTGGACGCCCGTGGTCAAGGACATCATGGAAGACTGCATCGAGGACAAGCTGGATCAGAAGCATTTTCCGTACTTGGCCGGTCGGGCTCAGAGCACGGGATACCATCCGCCTGCCAGGTGGGTTTCAAATTCTCTCCAACTCCAGTGCTGATTCCGTTGGCTTTCAGCGCCCGCTATGGCCACTGGCACAAAGACCGCAGCCAACCCACGGTTAAGAACGTGCCCCGTCTCATCGTCTTCGTAGTGGGCGGCATTTGCTTCTCCGAGGTGCGCTGTGCGTATGAGGTGACCAACGCCCTTAAAAACTGGGAGGTGATCATCGGCTCTTCCCATATACTCACTCCCAGAGCTTTCCTCGACCAGCTAACGGCCCTCACTCCCAACTAGAACACACCCAAGAAGGTCAGCTTCCGGATGGTGGATTGATCCACCGTCTACATTTCCGTTTATGTTTATCGGTATACCAAAGGATCGCTGCTCTGTTCAGGTGTCCTCCGGTAACTGAGTCTGCAGGGCGAGTCAGCCAACTGCACCGGTCTTATTAGCTCGCCCTGTATGTATATAAAGTATTTCCTAATTGTAAGTGATGGCTTAACAGGCTTATCGGGCCGTAGATATGATGTTGATGTGAACCAGTGGCACTGACCACTCACTATCGCAATTATTCGATGTTAGTTAGTTATTAATCTGCTTCAACTTAATTAGATGTTGATAGTTTATCTTTGTTACATTTTAGCCTTAACATTTATGTCGTTCCACTATTCAGATTTGCAATAAATTAGCTCGTGATAGCGCCTTGATCTGCTTTAAATCTGCCCCATAACCCGACTGGACGCAAATCAGTTTTTGTCGTCGTCGAAAATGGTTGCGGATAAGATTGTGCTGGCTTACTCGGGCGGTCTGGACACCAGCTGCATCCTGAAGTGGCTGATCAACAAGGGCCACCCAGTGGTCTGCTACATGGCCAATGTCGGGCAGACGGAGGACTTCGAGGCAGCCAAAGCAAAAGCGCTGAAACTGGGCGCTTCTCAAGTGGTCATTGAAGATCTGCGCGAGGAGTTCGTGGAGAACTACGTCTGGCCTGCTGTGAGCTACGGGCTGGTCTATGAGAGCCGCTACCTTTTGGGCACGGCGTTGGCACGACCCTGCATCTCTGTGGGGCTGATTAACTGCCTCAAGGCAAGTACCTACTGGTCTTTTGAGTTTCGCCCTGTAGCTACAAAATTTTTAGGACCATCAAGCGCTCGCACTGTCGCATGGCGCCACCGGTAAGGGCAACGACCAGGTGCGCTTCGAGCTGGCCTGCTACACCTTGCTGCCCGATGTCCAGGTAAATTCCGTCCGTCCAACCGCCAAACATCGTCTGTAGTTTGTCCGTCCAGATTATCGCGCCCTGGCGCCAGGCGGACTTCGTGGCACAATTCTCGGGCCGGCGGGAGCTGCTGCAGTTTGCCGCAGACAACGACATTCCGGTGCCAGTCACCCCCAAAGCCCCCTGGAGCATGGACGCGAACATTATGCACACGAGCTACGAGTCGGGGGTGCTCGAAGACCCCGACCAGGAGCCTCCGGCCGAGCTCTATCTGATGACCAGGCCTGCGAGTGAGGCTCCAGAGCAGGCCTGCAGATTGGCGATTAGCTTTGAAAAGGGTCGCCCTGTGCTGTTGGAGCTGGAGGATGGGCGCAAGCTTACCACCAGCCTAGACATTCTTGAAACGCTCAACGAAATCGGAGGACAACATGGAGTGGGCCGGATAGACATTGTGGAGAACCGTTTTCTAGGCCTGAAGGTACAAAAATGCCCTTTTGCAAACGCCTTCAAAGAAAAGTAGCTACTCACATTTTCCTTTGCCAGTCGCGCGGCGTCTACGAGACCCCAGGAGTGACCATTTTGCACCAGGCACACCTCGACTTGGAAACCTTTTGCCTCGACCGGGAGGTCTACCGGGTGAAGCAGCTGCTAAAGGACCGGTGAGACTTCACTTCCAGAAAGACAATTATTCACTTCCATCTTTTGGCGCAGACTGGCCGACTATGTCTACAACGGGTTCTGGTTCTCGCCAGAAGTCCAGTTTACCCGAAAGTGTCTGGACTTGGCCGCCGAAAATGTGCAGGGGACAGTCAAGCTGCAGGTCCACAAAGGTGCAGTGACTGTGCTGGGCCGGTCTAGTTCAAAGGCGCCCTACAACGCAGACTTGGTGTCCATGGACCAGCTGGTTGGGTTTGGGCCGCAGGACGCCACTGGCTTTATCAAGATCCAGGCGATCAGGCTCAGGGAGCATCAGCGGCTGACTCACTAAGTTCAACCACAACAGACGACAATAAAATGTTGAAATGTGTATAATAATCAGGCTTTCAACTTAAAAATCCACGTTATTTGTCAAGCAGCGTTGGGTGAAAAAATCGTGCCGTTTCCTAGCTTGCTTTTGATTGGTCATTTTGAAAAATGCTGTTATCGAGGGCGTTTTACTCATCCCATCCTCCGTGTTATCGGCCTCCTCCCAGTCGACTTGGTAAGCGGTATTTTCCAAGGCATTTGCAGTCGTGGACCAGCTGAAGCGCACCAGCTGCGGATAACCAAACACTGGGTCGCAGTGGGAGACCAGGAACTTCTTGGTCACTGGATCTGAAATGGGGCTGAGTCAACGAAGCACTGTTGCGAATCGCAACTGAAAATCCCCTACCACCTGGGTATCCGCTGCCGAACTCTTTCACGTCCACATTCTCCCTGAAGTCCCAGACTTTGAGGGCGTGATCTCGGACGACTTTGGCACAAATACTGGCCGCGGACACAACCGGGTAGGTGGAATCGGCCTTCTTGGCCACCGTGATATCCAGCTTTGGGAACAGGGACTTCAGGTACACTTGGTACTTCTCCGGTTTGCCTACTGTGTCAACAAACACATGCTTCACATTGACTTGGCGCTCTAGAGCGGCTCTGATCAGCCCCACGGCTGAGTCCATCGACACCTGGAACTGCACACTCCAGATCCAAGCCTTAAGGTTTCCTACAAGTTTACCTGATTTAGGGAGTACTTGGAGCGACTGAGCATGCTATTACAGATGGAAGTGGGCGCAATGACTTCGACGCCCCAACCAATTTTTAGCTGGTTCTGGCAAATTTTCTCGAAAATTTGGTCGCGTTTCTCTTCGTTCAGGGCCTTTGAGTCGGCACACTCCAACGTCTCCAGCAGCGTTTGCTCGTTAATTGGGATAAACGCGGTGCCGTACACCATGGGACCTGCAAAGAATTGCTGGTTTCAGGACTCCGACACCGTGCAGGCAGCTTGCTTACCCAGCACAGGCCCTCGCCCTGCTTCGTCGATGCCCAGAATACAGGGATAATCATGGCAAATCTCCGATATGGGGCTCATATACACGACGTTTTGGGCGTTGTCTTCCTCGGCCAGGAACGTCTTCAGGGTGGCCAAGTCGCTGATTTCTGTCGTGTTTTTTGCAGTCTCTTCCATGTTGTAGAACTTGTGTTGCTGCAAATAAACCGCCAAAATAACGTTTCAGGTTATGTGGCATAGATGAACATTATGAACACAGAAGTACACATAATATAAAGCATAGATAAATCATAATCAAATAAAGATATTTATCTCAGTTTCTTGCTGTTTTATTGAAAAATTGTGAATTTTATTCACCTCCTCATCATTGGTGTGGAGGGCTCTGGAGGCGTCTCGCTTTTGAAAATTGCTCCGGTTTAAATCGCACCAATTTAAATGGAATTGACATTTCCGTGAAGCTGAAAATTCCCTCTTTTTTTCGGTACATCGGGTTTATGGCGGAAAGTATTTATTCATGGGGAAAACTGTTTATTGCGAAGCAAATTGCTTTTGAAAATTCGGCAATTCTGACGTTTATCCGCCAAAACATCAAGGTTAGAACCACTGATGTTCAGTTGTTCAATGCGCTAAGTGAAAGGAAGACGCTTTTGAAAATTGCTCCTGTTTAAATGGCCCCAATTTAAATGGAACTCACATTTTCGTGAAGCCAAAAATTCTCTCTTTTTTTCGGTGCATCGGGTTTATGTCGGAAAGTATTTATTGCAAAGCAAATCGTTTTTGAAAGTTAGTCAATTCTGACGTTTATCCGCCAAAACATCAAGGTTATATGCCCTCTAGACGGAAGCAGAGGCATGATGATAGCGCAGCTAGTCGATGACAAGGAAATCACAAGTTTATTTATACACAGAGGCTTATACACTAAGCCTAGTTCTCATAAGCGAATTTTCGGAAAAAAATTCCGAATAATCGGACGATTTGACAGATGTCGGAAAAAGTTGAAATTCAATAGTTCTCATATGCGATTATGCCTTGCTGAAAAAAGCAATAATTTTGACTCATCGTGTTGATGACAGTGATTGGTAAAAGCCCACTTTTTCGTTACCTCGCTCGGCGTTCGCCAAAGTTTAGCCGCCTTTATTTATTATATTAGAAGTCTTTATCTATCAGTCTTTATCTATGCTATGGTCTTTATCTATGGCCCACACGAAATGCAATGACATGAAAAACATATAAATTTACGCAATTATATACAAATATTGAGCACATTAAATTTTAAAGAAACGAAGAAAAAGTATTTTCAAGTGTGTAGATTTTATTCAATTTTTGACATTCGACCAAGGAGTATCGGTAATACGTAAAGCATATGCTGAGCTTGAAAAAAATGAATAAAATCTACACTGAAAGTGTACACAGCGTAAAGTGCTTCCTAATCTTTCTCCTGCATGTATAGCATATCGGCTTTTACAGTTTTTAGTAGGGCTCGGAATTTTTTTAAATCTGATATTCGAATATTCGTTTAGTGGTTTATTCGAATAATAAAATTATTCGAATACTCAAATATCTAACGAATATTCGAATAATCGAGTATTCGAATATTCAAGTATTCGAATATTCGAGTATTCGAGTATTCGAATATTCGAGTATTTCTATTCGTATTCGTTAGATATTCGAGTGTTCGTTTTCCGTTCACCGTTTCCCAAGAAGAAAAATCGTTATCTGATATCATTTTTGGCAACTAGCCTCAACGGATAAAAAAGTGCCTTTGTCGGCACATTAACTGTAACACCGCGCAAAAGTTGATGATGCGTACCACCAGAACACAGAGACGTAATTTTACATTCATTTGCAGGAGAGTAAATATGATTATTTTCATTTGCTTGTAAATATATGGGTATTTGTTTAAATGCTTGTAGAATATGAATAATTTATTCTATAAATGTATACAAAGTGCATATAAAGATTGCACCTTTTGATAATGTTGGTGTATTCGAGTATTCGAGTATTCGAATATTTGAGTTATGACTACACATAATTATTCGCTTTTCAAATATTCGAATATTCGAATACTCGAATTATTCGAGTTTGATTCCGAGCCCTAGTTTTTAGTAATATGAGGTCCAACTTGAATTGATAACTTTGATAATAAAATATCGAATAATTCTTTCGACATTCCCATGTAATTGAAATATTTTTCTCGATCTTGAAGACGCATTTCTTGAATAAATTATAATGCGCTACTTGTTCCGGTCTTCGTTGGAAAATCTCTCTAATGTGTTGTGTAATAACATTACGTTGAATTGAATTGTAAAATTATATTATAAATTTATAAAATTACCTATAAAATTCCTCCGAATTTCCGAATAATCGGAAAAAGTTGGAATAATTGCAACTTCTTCCGACACCTGTCAAATCGTCCGATTATTCGGAATTTTTTTCCGAACATTCGCTTATGACAACTAGGCTTAAGTGTCATACACAAAGAAGCAGTTAAAAATCCCGAATTAATTACTGGAAAATTTTAGGAAAATTGAAAAATCCTGATTTAACTATTGCACATTTTTAGAAGCAGGTAAAAACCCCCATTTAACTATTGGAAACTTTTAGAAGCAGTTCATATTGATTTAATTATTGATCATTTTTGGAAGTAACTAAAACTGCAATTTAATTGTGGAAAAATTTAGGAATAGATAAAAATCCCAAAATTCCTATTGAAAAATTTTAGATATACATTTTTAAAAATCTCGATTTGGCTTTTAAAAATTTTCGGAATTAGTTAAAAACCCAATTTTCAGACAATTTTAGATGCAATTAAAAATCCCGATTTAACTATTTGAAATTTTTAGAAATATGCAGTTAAAATTCCCGACTTAGTTACGTATTTAAAAATTCCGATTTATTTATTGATACACTGTAGAAGCAGTTTAAAGTCTCGATTTAATTATTGCAAAATTTAAGAAGTACCTAGTTAAAAATCCCAATAAAGCTACTAAAAATGTTTAGAATCAGTTCAAAATCAAGAATTAATTACAAAAAAATTTAGAAGCAGTTAAAATCCCGAATTGGCGATTGAAAAATGTTCACTTTATTTCAAGTAAGCAAGTGTAAAAGCAGTCACAAATCGTAGCACAGCCTGAATCTAAATTTTTAATTTAAGGAGAGCTTAGCCAAAATATCAAGCTTCAAGAATTAAAGTTTTCGGGACAATCGAGCAAAAACTATTCGGAAAATCCAGTCAAAACGTATTCCCTAGCTCATAATGACAAAGAAGCATTTATAAATTATGGCTTGGCTTGAATGTGAGTCTGCCATTTGGACAAGTGGCCCAAAATTTCATAAAAATTGATAAATGTGCCCCTTAAGGGAAGTGCAGTTCACTATCTTGCAGGATTAAAGTTTTTTTTATTCAAAGCGGATTTTTATAATATGTACTGTGCGCTTTTTAGCATTCATGGAAGAAAATGGAGAATGGGGCGCCAGCTTGCAGAAAACTGGTGAGAATTATTTCTAAAAGCTACTGAAGTTTAATCATTTTTTACATTTCTTATTCTTTGCTTTTCTGATTCGCTGTACTTAACAAATTTTCATCTTTCTTTCCAGATGGCATGATGCAGCTTTCGGTAAGTTTGGCATTACTTTTCCCTTTACTTTACCCTGGTTGCTATGTAATTGTAGACCTTTTAGTTCCATATTTTGTACTTGTTTTTCGTGATATTGTTGCATGACATAATTTTTCGACGAAGAACGACGAGGGAGTTTCTGGATTCTGGATCGGGTTTTTCAAATTTTTTAATTTAATTTTTACAAAATTAGTCAGAGTCAAGTCTGATTTTACACATTAAGTAGGGTTTTTTCGATGGAAGATTGTTTTTATATGAACAAAGTTTTTAGTGGCCCTAAAACTACACCCTAAATTAAGCCGTTCTATTGTTCTCAATAAGGATTGTTCAGATTTGGTCATTTTTTCCACATAATCGGTCAGGGATTCTACAGCAAAAGCCTTCAATATACGTACAAGAGTGTTCTGCTGTAAACACTCCTTTAATGATCTTCTTGATTAGTGTTTTTCTTGTCTTAATTTGGACTTTTTGCAGTCTTGGAAAGTAATAATAGTCCAGAATCCAGACTAAAGAGCCTAAAGGTAGGTGGAATTGTTTTATTAGGTATATTGTGATGATCTAGCGAAGAGCGCCTTAAGAGGCTGCATGTGGTTCTGACATCCTAATTTAGATTTCGCGCTATTTTTCCAAATTTCACACACACTAAAAAAGTGATTTTTCACAAACATTCGTGCTAGGGATTTTCAGCCGCCAGGATCCGCTCGACTATTCGAAAACCGACTTGCAACTTTTCTCCTAAATTTAAGCCGCTTTAATGGCATTTGAATTTTTGAGGAAAATTACACTTTTAGGGATTTGCAGCGGTCTGGATGCGGACTGTATTTTATTTTGTGGAAGTAGATGGTAACCGGGGTTGTGGTTTTTCTTTGCTGGAATTTATGCTGCTCGCATGTGCAGATTTGTGGATTTTACAGAGCGAATTTCCTCTTTATACGCAATTTATATAGCGGTTTGGTGGCGCACTTGGCAAATTGTGGATCTATTGGCATTTTCTGGCAAACTAATTTTTTATTCGCGGTTATAGCAAAAGTTATAAAGTCTATAGAGAAGAGCGTGCAGAATGACGATGATTGACGGTCTCAAATGATCCGTTTTCTCTAAAAGTGGTGTAAGTATATTTTTTTTGTCTGGAGATATTTCAGGGTTTTCATGTGAAAAATTAGAAAATTATGGATATGTGCTATTATTGTATCTTTTAAAGATTAAATTGATTTAAATTTATAATTTAATATTTTTCGAAAATGTCATTGATAAACACTTATAGCATATACAGGGTGGCCATTTTATGAATCTTTGTATGCGTAACTTCTAAATTTTTAAAGATAGAGAAACCGTTAAATGGGAAAAATTGGGCAGAATTCGATTGCCTATTTATTAGCGTTCAAAATTTAGGTCCACGACTTGGTTCTTGAAATATCCTGAAAGGGCAAAAATCAACACTTTTTTAATTATCACATATTACGTAAACTGCTTAACTTAGAAAAAAAGTTGAAATTGCCCTTGGTAGAACTTTTTGCGTTGAATTCAATCAACTAGCACTCGTTGTCATAGTCAACTTGATTTACGAGATAAAAAATAAACTTATGTTTTTTTAAATGGTAATCATAGTTGGCTGTGGGCCTTTTAAAATCCTTATTTTTTTTCTGAATTTAACGATATAACTGTTTGTATGTTTATCTCTTTTTTTAACCGTAAAAATTCACAAAACCCCCTGCGGTCAAGCTACGAACTTCAATACATTTTACAGCCACTTTTTATACCAACTTTACTTATAAGGATTTTTTCCTGAAACCGCTAGTCCTTACGGTTGTCGAGATTATTATTTATTATTATTTATTAAATTATTACCCGCTCTTTACTCTTATGGGGACACCCTGTATCGGAGAGCATTAGGATAGGTCTAGGCTTGTTTCCACCTTAAAGTAATTGTTGTTGACGCCTTTCAAGATAAAGAAATCTATCGCATCAGGAATTTTGGCTGGATCTGTTGGCCAATATGTGGGCTCACCAGTTGCGAGATGGCCCAAGTTAGTAGAAGTCATTGTGTGCAATAACTTTCTGTCTTTGGTGGTTATTAGCCTCGAGCCCCACTGCTTTTGCTTGGCATTGTAGTCGCCTCCAGCAAGGAATCTATTGCCGAGTGTCTTGAAGAACTTTTCATAGTTCTTTCCTGTTGTTATGCTTTGGAGGACTATACACCGCTGAAACAACAATGGTTCCAGACGCCACTTATAGAGCGATATTTGCCGCTTGTAGCCTTCGAGTTCGTGGTGCTGCAGACTACTTCGTATAATCACTGCAGTCCCTCCATGTGCAGTTCCAACAGAACTGAGTCCAAAGAAAGTTGACAAGTTTTCTTGTAAAGTCGATCTCTTAATTTTTTTGTGTAAAAGATTCAGTTTGCCAGTATTTTACAGTAAAACGTTAGGGAAAAAACGCGTTGTTCTGTTTAGAGGCAATGCTGTTTAGAAATATTGACCTTAGAGTGAAGAAACCCCAGTCTCCAGGAGTTTTCCCAATAAATGATTAGAAACTTTGCATTTTTAGATCAGCGAAATATTTTTGGAAAAATATTCAGAAATAATTATTAGGGTTTTGCCCATAATTCGAAGCTTCAAAAAGTTTTCCAAACATTTTTGGAGAGCGGTTGAGGAGGCGAGTGTTCCAATAAAATTTATCTTATAATTTTTCACAGAAAATATCTGAAGATTTTCAGTATTTTAAGTGAAACTAAAAAATAATGGATTTTTTGCGTAGAAATAATTGCTTAACAGAAAGTTTTTTAAAACTGGAATAGCCTAAAAATTTAAAGGAACTTTAAAAATCTTCAGAGCGATGAGAGCGGCGAATTTTTCAAATAATTTTCAATAATTTATGTAAACTTTTGCTCTTTCGGTAAAAAACTGAATACAATTATTTGGTTTTTGTGCTAAATTCGAAGCTGAAATTGATTTTTGTCTGCAAACCGTTGAATGCGGCGAATTTTGTAATTTTAAAAGACCCCATTACTGTCAGAAAAGAAGAAAATTATCAGAAAATTGCTTTTTTTTCCGATTAAAAAYTTCAAGTGCTGTGGTTTGCTTCTGGTTGTGGTTGGTTTAACCTTAATGGTTTTCGGGGAAATCGGGGGGAAWTTAGTATCGATTTTGTCYCGAATTCGACGCTGRAAAAAGTTTTTGTAAAATTTTTACAAAGCTATAAATTTATCTWGTAATTTTTCGCGTAAAAGACGTCCAGATCGTCAGTATTTTTAAGTGAAACTCTACAAAATAGAGCGCTTTTGAAAAAAAAGTACACTTTTTTGCTTTTGAAAAAAATCAGTCAAAGCTAAAAACCACATTAAAAAGCAAACCTCGAGATGGCGAGACTTCCAAATAATCTGTTACAAACTTTCGCTTATTCTGTTCGTTTTTTGATAGAAAATTGTTTGATTTTTGTTCCAAATTCGACGCTGGAAGGAGATTTCAAAATTTTTTAGAAAGCGACGAAGGATTCGAAACTTATTTCATACAATTTCGCAGAAAATACCTTAAGATTTTGCGTTTCTGATTTAAAACTTTTAGTTTTGTGATCGGTTTTTGCGAAAGACTTAATAGTTTCCGGGAAAAAACGGGATAAATTTATTTTCGTTTTCGTCCCTAATTCGAATTCGAAAAAAGTTTTGTAAAATTTCTACAAAGCTGTAAATATATATTGTAATTTTTCGCGTAAAACCACATCCCGATTGTCAGTATTTGTATGTAATACTCTACAAAATAGAGGGTTTTTGAGTAGAAAGCAAAGCAAAAAAAATCAGTCAAAACTAAAAAAACATTTTTTTTTAACAAACTACATTTTTCAGAGGAAGGGAAGTGCTGAGTTTTCCAAATAATTTATTATAAATTTTCGCTTATTTAGCTCGTTTTTTGATAGAAAATTATTTGATTTTTGTCCCAAATTCGAAGCTGGAAAGGGATTTTAAAACTTTTTACAAAGCCACGAAGGAGGCGAGTGTTACTCATCAAAAATAGCTTCAGATTGTCAGTATTTTTAAGTGGAACTTTAGAAAATTGTGCATTTAGAAGGAGCAACTTCTTCTATAATATTAAAAATATTATTAATAAATGGCCCTTAAAGTAAATCTTAAAACAAGTAAAAAAAAGTCATCAAGCTTCGTTTCCCGGCAACGGAACTGAGTTATTGCGCCGGTGCGTAGGGTTGGCGCACTAAGCCATTTGCGTAGCACTGCACCAACTCCTGAAAATTCATTGAGTTAACCAGGCTCAGGGTAGTGGTGTCCACATTTTGAACTGTTACGCTCGCAAGCTGAAAAGATAAAACCTTTTTACAATCGAAGCTAGTGGAATTTTCAGCTTCAAATAATATGTAGCGACAAAGCAACAAAAATGAGGAGGACCGAAGGTTTATCATTAGAAATGACTTAAACGAAATCAAGATATTTCGCGTTTAAAGTAGTTTTATTGAAGAGTTTGGAGCTTTACGAGAACTTTGAAGTAGCAAGTAGGTAATTTCAGTTCAAAGTGAGAATTCTACTTCTAGAGTTTGCAAGTTGAAACTTGCAGTTTGAAATTGAAACGCTACAGTGTAAATTTCGAATATTTAGGCTCCAAAGGCAGACGTTTTCGAATTAAGCCTGGGTAACTCAGTGAATTTTTAGGAGTTGACGCAGTGCTGCGCAAACGGGTTTGAGGACAGGTGCAGTAACTCAGCTCCGTGGCTGGAAAAACGTCACTTATAAAAAATGAGGTGACCCCGTTTTCTCGTCTTGGGCCTCGTAACGCTTTAATGCGCTTTAATAAATGAGTTATAACTCATTAACTGAGAGAGGGGCAACAACTCAACACAGTATTATCCAGCCCTAGTAAAATTTGATCCAGTAGCGTTCGTTTTTGAATTTTCGAGCGACAAGAAGCACAAGCGAAAGTTATGCGGAGATCATCGAGGGGGACAGAGATGTTTTTAAGACAAAACACTGATCAATTGACAAGTTGACAGCGTTATTTCCCTGGACACTGGTTCAAGAAAATTGAAATCTAGTTGCGTCAAATTAAAAAACATAATTTCTGCCAAAGTGAGTGAGATGGCTTGATGCTAAGGCAAATATTGGAACGAGCGCATTTTCTTCTCGGGATGGGGAACGATTTGCTTTTGAGCCATCATCAGGTAGCAACTTAAATTTAAAGACACTGTTCGTAAATTGCGTCGAAATTTTAAAAAAATTCAGTTTGGCCTAACCGAGTGGGTCAGAACGTGGCCAAGGCGTGTGATGGAAAGAGCACTCATTAATTTGTGGATTTTGAAAGTTTTGTTTTTCTGTATCGGGGACGATTTGACAAATTTCCAAGTTGGGTTGAGAGTGTTTTTTCTTAAACTGCGCTCTAAAATGCATTTCTGCTAAACTGAGCAAGATCAAACCAAGTGGAAAGTTTCATATTCACCAACATCAGCAGTAAAATGGGCGCAAAAGATCATTATCGAATTCTGCGAATCTACTGGTGATTGAACGAAGTCATTTAGTGACATCCAAAAGTGCTTAATGCGATTGGAGTCACTGGTTTCAACTCAATAAACACTCAACTGGCCACTCGACAGGTTTTTTCGGAAATTAGTGTCGTGCCCGAAGGACTCGGCACAACAAATACATTACATACTTCGGGCTGTCGAAGTTGTGCCAAACCCTTTGAGCACGGTACTGGTTTAGAGTCAAAAACTGGGTAACTAAGTGAATTTTTAGGAGTTGGCCTTGGAAAAGGGTCATCTCATTTTTTGTAAGTAACGTTTTTCCAGTCAGGGAGCTGAGTGACTAGACACCCGTGCTAGAACCCATTTGCCCAGCACTGCGCCAACTCCTAAAAATCCATTAACCAGGCCGAGATGGAGACGTTGGAGTGTGCCGACTCAAAGGCCCTGAACGAGGAGAACCGCGACCAATCATCAATCAATCGCGTTCAATTTGATCATAAACCGTTTGCATCCCAAGTTCATTTTCGTCATATTGCAAGAAATGTACTATCTGACCGCGTTTCGAGTCAAAAAAAGCTTTACATCGATGTGATATTTGGACAGTTTAGTTAGAAAGGAGCCCAATAGTTTACTGAATACCTTTATTATAGATAAACGCCAACAATGGTGGTTCCACTGATATAAAAATATCGATAATTATCTTAGCTATTAGAATACAACAATTATGTACAGACGGGTGAGATCTGGCACTGCTAGTCCTTGATACCGTAGTAATCCAGGGACATTTCGTCGTAAATGCCCTCATCCAGACCGAGCTCCAACTGGTTCGGGTTGATGTCGGTGATGAAAAAATCGTTGCCCAGTCCGCACTCGTTGACCAGCTGCTGTTTGGGCACGGGAGGCGCCAGGAACTCCTGCAAACCAGACACTCCCTCGGGAATATTGAGGCATTCCATGTGGATGTCGTCGTGGGTCGCGACCGGGTCCTGTGCCCGTTCGATCTGGAACAGTCCAGTTGCTCGACCCGCTTGATCCACCGTCCAATCGATTACCCTGCCGCTCTGCGATTCAATCTCCTCCAAAATACACTCAGTGGCCGCTTGCAGCTCTTTGTCGAACCGCTCCTCGGGCGCTATGTTCTTCTGGGAGTTGAGGAAATCGTTGATTCGTTGCCGCTGAAACAACACCAAACTAATAGCCAAAGCGTACGCTTTTGGGTTTGGAGGCCTACCATTTGCCAGGATTTCATTTCATCGCGTTGAGCGATCGTCCAGAGATGGCCGGCGCCCTGCACCGCTTTGCCTCCTTTGCGAAAATGGGGATTAATGGACAAGTTGTGTCTCACCGAGTTTTTCCAGCGGTCGTCGTTCGACTTGTAGAACGGGAAATGAGTGCTGATGGGGAGAAACCGGAATTAAATTTGACACGGTTCAGTTGCATCGATCACCTGCTGAATATTTAGGGCCCTTCGTTGTTGCCGATCAAGCGTGGGAAAGAGTTAGGGCCCTGGCGCTCCATTAGTTACGAGTTACCAGCGCGGCTGGTCCTGGTTTGACCAAGAACAAGACCTAGACCAAGACTGTCTTGTGATTAGCAAGACAAAGTATTTTAATTAAATTGTCCCGGAAGAGTCGAAGCCCTTAAGTTTGATTAAGATTGTTAGTATTTTTAAGTGAAACTTCAGAAAATCGGCATTTAGAAAAAAGAGTAACTTTGCTAAAACTGGAAAATTCTGAAAATTTGAAGAACTGTTAAGAATCAACATTTTCCCGGCACCGGAACTGAGTTACTGCGCCGGTCGTTGGGTTGGCGCACCAAGCCATTTGCGTAGCACTGCGCCAACTCCTAAAAATTCACTGAGTTACCCAGGCCTATTAGAAAGCGAACGGGTAAAGTGTCTGTTGCGATGCTGTGCCGAGCCCTTCTTGACTGTAGAAAACACTCATTTCCACTTAATTTTCGCCTAATTCGTCTCAACCAGTGTAGTGTCCGAAGGGCTCGGCACAACTTCGACATAAAACTGGGTTGTAGAGTGTCGCCTTGCAAAGCAAGTCGAAGCAATTATTAGTGCAAGGCTTGATTTTGGTCAGAGTTTGAAAGGCGGACGCTCCACAGCCAATGGACGGGCTAGGAAGATTTGGGCCCTTTCCCCGCCGAACCAAATAATCAATGGCTCACATGCGCGAAAGAATCCCGAGTTCAAGCCGCCCCTGAGGAGTGGGCCGCTTCTCCTTCTATATCTGGTACCAGGCACGAAGTATCGACGATCGTGCCCCAGGCATTTAGCGCAACTTGGCGACCCCCCATTTAAGGCAAATTTATGTCTTTTGAGGAACATGCGGTTGAGCTGGGCCAATTTCGCACGTGTCTTTTTTCCACGCGACTTGACGCGATCGCTGGCTTAATTTTCCCAAAAAATGCTTGATCGGACCCTCCCCCCAATCGGGGCTCATGCACCGTGAAATCGAACCGAATCGAGCATGCAGATGAAACAATTATGATAATGGGCCGAACGATTATCACGTCGTGTGCGGAGTTCCGGCCGGTTGGCTGCAGGTGCCCGTCAAAATGCAATTTTCCTATGTTTTTTTTTCACGAAAACTTACGAGATCCATTTGTAAATGCCGGACACCGTCAGTTCTCTCTTCTCGATCAGGGCGTGCTCGATCAGCTCGGTGTAGGTGAAGGGCGGCTTCCTTTGGGTGTTGTTGTGCCCAACATTGGCAACCTTGGATCCTTCCTGCAATCGCCCACTTAAGGGTTTGCTGAATTAGACACTAAAAACTACTCACAGCGACCTGAACGACTTCAATGAGTGGCTGGATGCTGGCTGTAGGCGTTTTATGCAAATCTTCCTGGTCAGCAGGTGCAGCATCTACAAAAGCAACTCGACTAAGTTTCCTGAATTTTTTTTTAACGAAAAACCATTTCACGTTTTGGGCTTCAGAGCAACAGTTTTCGAGATGTTTTAAAAAAAACTGTCTATTTATAGATGAAATGATAGAAACATTAACAATTCAATGAGCACAACAAAAATACTAAACTTATTAACGCTAATAAAAACCTGGTGAACTTTGGACAAAAGTTGTGCAAAATGACGCCCATTAAGTTCAATTAATTTCACCAGTTTACTAAACGATCTTCTAATAAGAAAAAGGTATATTTATTGCAAAATATCTTCAGTCTTTTGAATTTTTATCAATAATTCGCCTCAGGTATCTAACGTTTTCAAATACACTAAATACTTCAAGTGCCCCAACATAGAAAAATCTCTATGACTCAAATGCAACTCATCGTGCTGGCCATGGCGCTTGACTTCCCCGAGCAATTCAACGATTGGGAATATTTGCGTTGAAGTAATCCTCACTAGGCCTGTGTTGAGTTGCGTTTTTGAATTGTTGCCGCTCTCTGAGTTAATGAGTTTTAACTCATGGCCGGTGGCGGAATATATTGTCAGAAATGAAGTAAATATTCAGAAAATTATATTTTTTGCGTTTTTGATTTAAAACTTTTAGTTTCGTGATCGGCTTTTGCGAAAACCTTAATAGTTTTCGGGGGAAACAGGATAAATTTATTTTCGTGTTTGTCCCGAATTCGAAAAATATTTTGTAAAATTCCTTCAAAGCTATATCTATATCTTAGAAAGCAAAAAACATGCAGTCAAAACTAAAAAACCAATTTTTTTTAACAAACTCTACAGTTTTGAGAGGAATGGAAGTGACGAGTTTTCCAAATAATTTATTATAAACTTTTGCCTATTCAGTTCGTTTTTTGATAGAAAATTATTTGATTTTTGTCCCAAATTCGAAGCTGGAAAGGGATTTTAAAACTTTTTATAAAGCGACGAAGACGACAAAATGTATTTCATAATTTTTCGCGAAAAATACCTTAAGATTGTCAGTATTTTTAAGTGAATCTTTCGAAAATTGAGCACTTAGAAAAAAAGGAACTTTGCTAAAACTCCCGAAAATTCTGAAATTTTGAAGAAATGTTAAAAATATTATTGATAAATGGCCATTAAAATAAATCTCAAAACAAGTAAAGGAATCAACATTTTTCTAGCAACGGAACTGAGTAACTCTGCCGATGAGTTGGGTTGGCGCACCAAGCCATTTGCGTGGCACTGCGCCAACTCCTAAAAATTCATTGAGTTACCCAAATCTAATTCTCACTTGCAGTGAAAAATAAGTTGGCGCTTCATCTTGCATGTCTTCAGAAATTTCTAAACTGTCTGATTTGTCGGTTGTTGTTCTTCAACCAGTGTTGTGCCGGAAGGGTTCGACACAACAAGTACCTAACTACCTACATTAGACACTTCTAGATTCCCAAATCTACTTGAATATTCATTAAACTCTTATTCATCTATTTGTTGCGCCGAGTCCTCCGGGCACGACACTGGTTGAAGCACAACAACCGACAAAGACCAGACAGTTCGGAAGATTTTTTTGTGTTGTTCCCGAAGGGTTCGGCACAACAAATACATAAAATTTTAATGAATATCCAAGTAGATTTCCACATCAAGAATGGTCTAATGTACTTTGGCGAGCCCTTCGGACACCAGGGGCGGATTCAGCTTTAAATTCAGGGGGGGGGTATGTAGAAAAAATACAGTCTTCTGTTGTCTATGAAATTAGAAAAATTATCCTCGTTTTGTGCAAGGGTGGCGTAAGATTATTGCAAAATTTCATGTTTTCCGTCCCGTATTTGCTCATGCCTCGGAGGCAAAATGAGCAAGAACGCTCATTTGTACATCATTCTAGACAGAAATAAATGGCCTTTTTAGAAAGTGAACCATGGATGGGGCATTGTTGGCAGTTTTCTTAAAAAATGCTTGAATTCAAGAAGCTTTAGATTTGCGTGATTTTTTTTTGAGTTGCAAAATCCACTTGAGCATGACGCTGCTTTTTTCAAAGTTTCTCAAGAACCATTCGAGTCACAGAATTCGTTTTGGCATCGTTGGATAGAGAATTGAATGGGGGTCATGACCCCCATGCCCCCCCCCCCTGGATCCGCCCTTGTCGGGCACGATACTAGTTTTAACTCAAAAAACCTTCCGAACTGCCAGACATGGTCTGTTTCGATTCTCGCTCATCCTCAGGCTTTTTTCCAGATTTTGTTAAATTTGCGAAAGAATTTCTATGTTGGCCCAAGTTTGGCAATTATTTTCCTTGCAAGAATTTATAATATTTTATACATGTTTATATATGTTTTATATATGTACATTTTTTGACCGTACGTTCTACATACGTATAGGAATGCAAAAAAATTTCAATTTTCAATCATCATCAGGACATTTTCTCGCGAAAAAAATCCCTTTTTTGAAAATATTTTGCTATTTTGTGTTTGTTTATGCAAGCCGGAGTTTCACAGTTATTTGTGCCGAAACCAAAAAAACCTGGAGAACGACTTTTGTTGTATAAAACTGGTGGAAACAGCATTTTTGTAAAAAAGTACCACCACTTCCTAGGAAACGGATTTTATTATGATTGAGGATTTTATTAAGCATATCATTGACCACACAGGGCAAGGCCTAATGTCCCTAAGAATTACCCAAGTTTCATATTGGCGTCCAATTTCCATTAATAAAAATTGTGATAAAAGATTTGCAATGACTTCATGAAAAAAGTAAATAAGTGAGATTTACCTACTTAAAGTTTTGACCAATCTGACTGAGAGAAACGCATAAAATTTGATAGCAAAAAATACTCACCTGGAACAGGGGGTAGTTCTTTTAGCCGGTAATTGATCAGCCAGTTCAGGCTTCCGTCGGCGCAATCCGACTCGATGCCACTGTCCGAGCCCATTGGACTAGGACTGACCTGTCTGACGTCACTGCTGCACTTGTCCCAGCCAGCGCTCAGCAGAATAACCTGCAAGCAAGTGATAAATATAGCGCGATTCTCTAGTGCGCATGTCCATGGAACCCGCAGTGGATGGTACCTTGCCGGCAGCCTCACTAGGCACCTCTCGCCTGATGGATATCCGGGCCACATTGTTCCCACTGCCATCCACATGGCTGATGATCTTGCAAGCCTTGCTCAAAGGCGCCCCCATTGCTTGCGGGTTCACAAAAGTTTGCGATACCACTCGTCCGGTGTCCGTCGGGTCGTGGTACTCAATTTTGAAGTGACTGTAAGTGTTCACATCGGACTGGACATCCGCAAACTCGCTCATTTTTTGCTGTGGGCTCGCAATTTGGATTGAACGGGAATAGTGACAACCGGTGTCATGTGGCCAACTGACTTTGACATGACAGGGTGGCTAGTTTAGACGCATAATGTTACTTTCGTTTTACGTCATGTGGGAGGTGCAAGGTGCATTTGCAGTCATTTTCTGCTCACAACAGTGCATATATCTGTTAATATTCAAAGTTTTGCGATTCTAACGGATCTAGAAGGTATTTTTGCTGCGTAAAATATAAAAAATGTTCAGTGCAAGACCAGAGTGCGACTAATCGAGCTAAAAGCCATTGGTGCCACAAAAACTTACGGAAAATGGACAAGAAAGACAACTTACATCCGAAACAAAGTCCGCATCGGAACTATTGAAATAGTTCATCACAAAATCACGGGAAACGCACTGTCCTGGACAACCTGCTGGAAATTAGAACAAAAGCCTTGTAAAAATGTGGTAAGCTCAGGGGGTTCGGCAAGGGCGCCAGGTCCCTCCCCTTTTGACCAATGGCAATCGACCAAAGGCGGCCCTAAAGCGCTCAACCTATTTTCGTCAACCAATAGAAACTGGACTAGGGCCCAGGCCTTTTGCTTTTTGTGCTGCAAATTGTTTGGTCAATTATTGTTGGGAGATCTGCTTCTGGAAATGGGACTTTCCTTCGATATATAAACATTAAATTAAACCCAATGGTGTTTGCAAATAGGGGGCATTGTTTATCACAGATGCCAAAATTTAAATTGGTAATTTAGTCATAGATAGGGGTGAACGTGTCGTTTGAGTCCCTTCGAATTTTTAGTTTTTTCGTGTTTGACCTTCAAGAACACTTTAAATTAAGCAGTTTTAGCTGATAAAAAAATTCGGGAAAAATCCCGATGTAGCAGCAAATAGCATCGAACAATCTCATTTTCGTGCAAGTGGAATTTTGAAAGTTTGTAAGTGGTTTTTGCTTAATTTATGAAGCATCCAGGAATGTTTTCGTTGAAATTATTTAATTTATAGTGTTAAAACAAGAATAACTAAAAATTCGGTTGCACTGAAATGACACGTTCACCTATAGGGGGTCTAAAGAAGGCCTAGAAATAAAAAACAACCACCAGTCTAAATTCCATTTAATTTCCAACCAGCAGCAGAGACAAGTCTCTTGTCTTGACTTGTCTCTGCCAGCAGCATCAGAATAATGCAAGAATCATAGAACAAGGCTTATTTGGCAAGAATTTGGTTTGCTGGTGATGGTGCATCTCGGCAACATTGTGCTGCTGTCTTGTCACTTGTCACCAGCGTGTACAGTACAGTACAGAGTACCTCTGTGATCTGTGGTACAGTGTTGGCTGTCAGTTTTTGGCCAGCTGTTTAGTGTTTGTGTATGTGTTTTTTGCACCTAAATAAACTCGATTCCATGTAATTCCCATGTGAAATTGCAAAAAAGACAATGGCAACTAGTAGTGAAACTTCTCCCACAATTCCCAGCTCCACCAATCAGCTGCTCTCTCGCAGTCCCACTACGTCCGCGGACTTTCAATGGGGAAGTTTACTGGTGGGAAAATCCACAAAAACTCGTCCAAAATTCAAAGGTCAGTTTTTAATTGCGAAAGCCCATGCCTAAGAGCTTTTATATGTGATCCATAGACAAAGACTGATACTGACTTCCATTGATAAATAGTTCATGCCATTGGAAGTTAGATGTAGGTTGTAGATGCAGCTAGAATACTACGCAGTGTGGATATTTAATTAGCTTCTTTATTGTCAAAGTTGTTTTTATCGAGCAACGAATAGAAATAACCATAGAACAGAAATAACCCACTGAATTGGGATAGAATGGAAAGAATGTACAGTAGTACAGTGTTGTCAAGTTTGCACTCTCATGTAATTTCTCCCTCATGTTAAAGCGTCAACTTGCGTGACGTCATGTGGTACTCTCTACTGTTGCCACTTAGCACGAGTTGAATTTCCAATTTGGGCGTCGTGCGGTTGGGGTATTTTGTCCTGTCCTGTAATTCACTCTGAACTTTGAACGATTCGGCTGATGTCCACGCTTGTTGCCAAACTGGCTGAGATTTCAGAATATCCCTGAGAGTATGACTTCCTGTGGGCTTGCGTTTTTTTTAAATAGTTAAATATATTCCAAAATTGAGTCTATTGATTACTGGCTGATTACTGGTGGCCACAATTTACACTGTAAATGCAATTTGGAATATCGATCAGGCCGCCAGTCCGAACGGAAAGCGCCCCAGACGACGCCGACGCGCGCGTCTTTTCAACCCCCTGAAAATCGATGCTAGAGCACATTTGACAAAGTAATTTCGAGAAAGATCGCCCATAAACGTAAAATGAAAGTGCACGAGCTGGCTGATACGGGGCCAACGCCTGGGGCTGTGGACCAGGAGATGGCCGGCGCCCAGGACACCATCTATCTGTGCAACTTTAGGGTGTCCGTCGATGGCGAATGGTTGTGCTTGAAGGAGCTGCAAGACGTCGAATTCAACATGCACGAATCGGTCAATGGCAAGCTCGTGTCTTCGAGCCACCCGGAGGCCGTGCCCCTGTTCGGTAAAGTGGCCCCATGAGGCCCACCAGGTCAATGGGACTGTTTTGTTGTAGGCCGAGACCCGGCGGTGATCGAGCGCAGCAACCTGGTCAACATCAGCAAGCTGGTGGTGAAAGAGCTCATCGAGCAATCGCTAAAGTATGGCCGGATGCTGGATTCGGACCACATGCCGCTGCAGCATTTCTTCATCGTGCTAGAACACGTGCTGCGGCACGGGCTCAAGCCCAAGAAAGGCCTGCTGGGCCCCAAGAAAGAGCTGTGGGACATTCTGCAGATGGTGGAAAAGTACGCGCCCGAGGCGCAAGATATCACAGCCAGCGTGAGGGACTTGCCCACCGTGAGGTGAGTGGCACAGGGACTGTTTAGGGCGGCTTGATATTGTCCAATCCAGGACGCACCTGGGGCGCGCTAGGGCTTGGCTGCGGCTCGCCCTGATGCAGAAGAAGCTGGCCGACTACTTGAAGGTGCTGCTTGACCACAAGGACGAGGCCCTGGCTGAGTACTTTGAGCCGGACGCGCTTATGCTGAGCGACGAAGCCATCGTGATCATCGGGCTGCTGGTGGGCCTCAATGTGATCGACTGCAACTTGTGCGTCAAGGTGCCCCTTGCGCTCTGGATCTCTTGGCCTAAATAATCCAGCGGTGTTGCAGGAGGAGGACCTGGACTGTCCACAAGGCGTGATCGACTTCTCCTTGTACCTGCGCTCGCCCAGCCACGTGTCCTGCGACTCGGCCAGCGACGAGCAGGACCACATGGTGGCTGTGCTGGATCAGAAGAACTATATCGAGGAGCTAAACCGGCATTTGAAGTAGGTCCCTCATCCTGAGGCATGTGTCCTAGGCCTGGGTAGCACTATGCTGAGTTGCGCTATTGAGTTGTTGCTGCTGTCTGAGTTAACGAGTTATAACCCATCGGCTAATGAGTTTTAGTACATTTATTAAAGCTTTACGAGATCTGAGACTGGAATTTTCACATCTAAAAAAAAGGTTTTCTGAGCAACGGTTTACTACTTTGTTCAAACAACTTTAAAAAAGTCATCTAGATTTTCCCATCAACAGAACTGAGCCCATAGAAAGTCGACGAGTTTTCCTGTAAAATCGATATTTTCATTTTTTTTGCATAAAAGATTCAGTTTGCCAGTATTTTACAGTAAAACGTTAGGAAAAACGCGGTTTTTCTGTTTAGAGACAGTGTTGTTTACAAATAGTGACCTAAAAGTGAAGAAACCCCAGTTTCCAAGAGTTTCGGTTTTTCAGTTCAGGGACATATTTTTGGCAAAAGACCCAGAATTAATTAATAATAATTAGATTTAGTCCATAGTTTTCACGGTTAATGAGTTATAACTTATTAACCGATGAGTTATAACTCAGAGAGCGGCAACAACTCAAAAGCGCAACTCAACACAGTGTTACCCAAGCTTAGTCTCGTGTCTCCGTTTATACGAGATTTTATCACATGCGGATTGTGGACGATAACCATGCGGATTACGGAAATGAACATTGTTACGAAGCAAAATTTTCAAAAGTGGATAAGTTCGGATCGCTCCAAGAGATTTTCGCCAAAATTTAAGAATCTCGGATTAATTTTCTACGGGGCAGCAAATGAAAATGCACAATTTTGCAAATTTCGATATGCTCCTAGTTGGACAAGATGAGAGTTGAGAATGGAATGAAATTATCTTTCTGCAATTATTTTGGATCCGATATAGAAACGCTTTCGTATCATCGTATAAACGGATAGATGGGACGGATGTCTTAGGCATTGGCTGCTTGACTTCAACTGAGCGTTTGTTCAAGTGCCACCGTGGCCAACTTGCAGACCAAAGTGGAGAGTCTGACCACCACCAATGTGCTAATGAAAGAGGACATGGCAATCGCTCGAAACAACCTGCTGGCCCTGTATGATGAGAACCGTATGCTGCGCGAACAGATCGGCATGGACCCAGCTGGGTGAGCTCTAGTCAAAGAGTGCGTAAACTATTACCTACTCTTTGACTTGACCAAGACTTGCATACGAGCTGGTTAGAAGAAAGATGCAAACTTTGTGTTTTGCCTTTCAAACGTTTCCGCCTGGCGAGAGTCTCGCAAAACTCTTGCCTGTTAACTTCAGGCTTTGGTGAAATATTGGAACTTGGTGTGTAGGGACGTGACGAGCTTCAGCGGCGCTAACATCGTGCGTTCGCGCGACAGCGAAGGCAGCGCCGATACTGGCGATATTGAACAGCTCAGGCAGCGCCTGGAGGAGGAGCAGAAACAGCGACAGGAGGCCGATCATGAGCTGGAAATTCAGACGTGCCTCAAAGCCGAAATGGAGGTGGCCATGAAACTGCTGGAAAAGGACATTCACGAGAAACAGGACACTATAGTGTCGCTGCGCAGACAGTTGGACGACATCAAGCTGATCAATCTCGAAATGTACAAGAAGCTGCAGGTCAGTACTCGCTCCGTTATGGGGCGATTGAAAAGGGGCGACATTCTACTCATTAAGTGGATTTTGAGCTGATCTCGGCCTAGATTTTTCCGTTAGCCGTTCCCGCTTTAACTTGTTAAATGCACCGTTGTTGGCTGGTTATAGGAATGTGAAACGGAGCTGACGCAAAAGGGCGAGATGGTCAGCAGGCTGCAGGCCAAAGCGAGCCAGATTGGGAAAATTTTGAACAATCTGGAAAAGTACAACCATTTGCTAAGAGACGACAGGAAATCGCACGAGCGACGTGTGGAGAAGCGCCAGTGCGCCAAACTCGACAACAAAGCGAGCAGTCGGGAGAGCACCAGCAGCAAGCGCGACGAGGCGCGACTTTCTTCAGATTCCACCGACTCATTTGTGAAGCTCGATCTGGAATCTGATGACCGAAGCCCTGCTTAGGTTCTAATCAGTATTTTTGCCATGTGTATTCAATCTTCAGCAATGTTCACGTTGTAAGATTGTGACTTATTTCAGGACTGTGAGGCGACTTTAGGCCATAAAACTGAGTTAGTAGACAAGCTAGAGGCTAAGGCGCAAACTATGACAGACACTGTACATACTCTCGAAGTTAAGTAGGTACACTTTAATTTCATTTACGCTTAAACAGGCAGAATGGGTGGCCTCCCTTGCTAAAGCTTGGCTCGGTTTGGAAGGAGTTTTTGCAACGGCGGCCAATAGGTTATACAGGGTGAGTTTTTTTGATGACTAGTACAGAGATCTTCGCAACTAGAGCAGTTAAGAAGAGTCAAATGGACAAGGAATTGTAGTTTTCAATGCTCTACTCCAAACCAATTTTATTTTTCTCAAATTTGACAGCTGTCAAGAGATATTTGGGGAAAACTTATTTGTGGTAAATTTTTAAATTACTCCTAGTTCCGTTGATATTAATTTGACAGGAAAGCCTTAAATAGAAACCTTGTGGGAAATTGAATTCCAAATAAGATGGCATAAGGCGTTTCTCCAAAATCACGGTCATTTTTGACATGCATCACAAATTTGAGCTTTTTTAAATGGCAACCATACTTGATTATTGCTTTATCGAATAGAGCATTTTTTTACAATTTCTGTGATATATCACATCGTTAAGATTTTTTCGAAAATAAAGTGTCTGCGAACAATTTATACTTTTTCAATTTAGTTGATCGAAGTTAGCCATGGAAAATAGTATGAGACAACTACGTTAAAGTTGGCAATGACTTTATTTTAATTAAGCCGGCTGCTCATTTAAAGTGTTTATTATAAAAATCCAATCATGCCAATAATAATGAAAATTTAACTATAGAAACTTTAATTTGTATTGGAAAACATTTTCAAAAAGTCCACCATTATTATTAATGCAAACATTGTAACGCTTTAAAACTGAATAAGTTGCTTTTCTTGTGGACCGATCATCAATATTTTCAAATCCCCTAACAACAATATTTGTTTTTGTAAACTGTTTTTTTACGGCTCCCCACAAAAAGAAGTCCAAAGGTGAAATATCCGGTGTTTGAGGTGGCCATAAAATAGGGCCATTTCGTCCAATCCAAGTCCCAGGAAATATTATTAGGAAGGGAAAAATTATGCGGAGGAGCGGCGTCATATTGAAACCATTGCACATTACGCCATGTTTCTAAATCTAAGTCGTCAAAGATAAAATCCTGGTTATTCCGAAGGAATTGAAGATACCGACTTCCATTTAAGGTGCCTTCAAAAATAAATGGTCCAAGAATTTTTGAACCTACCATTCCGCTCCAAACGTTAAACCCAAATTTAATTTGTGTGTTGAGCAAAGGAGAGCTCAACGTGGTGGGGATTTGTTTGATTGCAAACATGTTCATTGTGCCGATTAAACATGCCACAATTTGTAAATCGAGTTTCATCGGTCCACAATAGTTTATAAGGGAATTGGATGTTTTGTTGGCATTTGTTTCGGAACCATGTACAAAAATTCACACGCAGCTCCTCATCCCCTGGACGTAAAGTTTGAGATACTGATAATTTATACGGATGGAATTGGTGTTTTTTAAAACTGTCATCACGGTGCTTTGGGAAGTCCCGGATACTGTTGCGATCTCTCTGGTTGAAATCTGTGGATTCTGGCTTACAATGGCCAAGACATTAACCTCCACAGCTTCATTTATTACTTTATCTTCATTTCTTGGCTGCGTAAAACTTCCATAAGTTCCCAAATTGTAGTATAATCGTTTGAAGTTTGTATAATGTTTTGAAGGACGGTTGATGACGGTCAAAATTCCTCTCAAAATAGTAATCAGAGGCTCGTCTAGCATTTTGATCACATCTAATGTAGGTTTCAATCTTGTCGCGCTTTTCTTGATTGGAATAATTTATTTTTACAATAAAACTAACTTAGATTTCTAAGTTGAATTTAAACTTGGCTAACTTCGATCAACTAAATTGAATAAGTATAAATTGTTCGCACGCTTTATTTTCGAAAAAACCTATCGATGCGATATATCACAGAAATCGTAATAAAATTCTCTATTCGGTCAAGCAATAATCAAGTATGGTTGTCATTAAAAAAACTGAAATTTGTGTCATATGTCAAAAATGACCGTTATTTTGGGGAAACGTCTTATGCCATTTTGTTTGGAATTCAATTTCCTACAAGTTTTCTTTTTAATGTTTTCCTGTCAAAGTGATACCCACAGAACTAGGGGTAATTGAAAAATTTCCCATAAATAAGTTTTTCCCAAATATCTCTTGACAGCTGTCAAATTTGAGAAAAATTAAATTGGTTTTGAGTAGAGCTTTCAAAACTACAATTATTTGTCCATTTAACTTTTTTCGTAAACTATAGTGTCGAAGATCCCTGTACTGGTTATCGAAAAAAAAACTCACCCTGTATGTAGATCGTGTCCCGTAGCACATGATCAGAAGATTATTGCGACATTCTTTGGCGCAAAAGTAGACGATCTGACCTAATTTTCCTTTAAGAAAACATGCCCTACTTCTCTGGTATTGATGGGCAAACTTTGCCCAAAGCGGATGAACTCGGTTGCTTTAGCACCTGAACTGAACCATCAATTCCAGAAGAACCGGACATTTTTTTCTAATGAAACTTAGGTCGGATCGTCTTCTTTTCAGCCAAAGAATGGGCAGTGCATTTTCGATCATACTCTCACGGTACACCCTGTATATGTTTTTTGGTCAATGGGCGTGAAACTGCCGGCAAACCTTCACGGAACTGGTCTCCAATGAAAACCCAAGTAAATTAAGATATATTACTATAGTCACACAGTCACACATGAATGTCACTTTATCCTGTAGGGAGTACTTTGTATTATCCACTGACCGTACAACTGCTTAATAAAACCATCCATCTAGCCATCAGGAGTTGTTGGAGCGTTATTTGTCCTATTTTTTGTTGGTTTGCCAGTAGTTTTAGGTCCCGCTTTATTTTGCTTCTTATCGGCGGCGCTTTCAGGTTGAAGGAGTGCGAGGAAAACCGATTGTCCACTGAGCATGCCAGGCGCAGGCTGCACCAGCAGACCATCCAGGTGGAAGAGCAGGCCACCAATGTGGAGGAGGACCTGAAGGTGGAGCGCGAATGGCGGATGTCCTTGCAGGACACCATGCAGCAGGACCGCGAGCGAATTGCCAAGCTCATGCATGAAAACGGCCAGCTGAAGATCGTTGCAGATGTGAGTTGGCAGATCTTTTGTGTTAGAAGAGTTAAGAGTCTCGCCAGCGGTGCTGGTGGAAGCACTGTGTCCAAACGGGTGCAAAACGTGTTTTATTTGACAGAAATACGCCACTCTGCAAGAGGTATATTACACGCTGAAGGACAACTGTTTGGAGCAGGAGCAAGCGCTGGAGGAGCTGGGAGTGGAGTTGCGGGACAGCAAGCTGCAGATATCCGAGCTGAAAGAGGAGCTGACGAGAAGATCGGACGGCGCCTGGGTGGACGACAGTGCCGTGATCCACTGCAAGGCTTGCAAGAAGGAGTTCGGCCTCACCAGGCGAAAGCACCATTGTCGGAACTGTGGCGACATTTTCTGCAACGCCTGCTCGGACAATTCCATGTCTTTGCCATCGTTCTCCAAGCCGGTGAGAGTGTGCGACGACTGCAATGTGAAACTATCTGGCCACTATGGCTAGTCTTTAACTCTTGGAAAGCTGACAAAGAGACATTGTCCTATTTGTGTTTTCTACAATGTTGCATTATATGATACTATATTGATTGAAAAGCAACTGGCGCTCTTATTGGGTTCGAGCTGGTAGTGAAATCAACTGTGGGCACCGTGCAGTAATTAAGTGGCTTTTGCATTAATCAGCAGATCTTAACAGCATGAAATTGGCCAATAACAGCAATAATTGGCAATTGCAAAGCGCCGTCTAAGGGCAAATGAAATGGCCAATCACTTCTAGAACATGATGCAACCATCGGCTGTCTTGCACTAGGGCCATTAGCCATCTGCTCAACAGCCAAGTTCAATTAATGTTCAATGCCGCTCGTTGCAGCACAATTGGCTATGCTCTGATGAATTAAACAATTAGAAGTTGTGCATTCACATGGGATTGCGCCCAGGGATTTTCATAGCACGTGGTTTTTTTTCGCAGACAATCCTGGCCAAGTGAAGGCAACTGAGTGCAGTTCCGCCTAAGTGCCGCAAGGCAAAACAAACGGATCCACCTTATTGACGAACGTGGAAACATTGGCTGATGCAATGTTCCGGCTGTGTTGCATTTGCGGATAAAACCCATTTCAGCGAAATTTTTTTCCGGTAAAAAGCGCGTGACTCATCGCATAATTACCGATAAAGATAAAAATCGCTTAACGAAGTTCGTGGTGTGTTTTCGTTCGGAACGAATTGGTTCGCTTTGGGGGAACAAGGCCACAGTGCTGAAATCTAAAAGTCTGGTGACGTCACACAATGTAGGCCGGTTTTTCGCCAGTAAAGAATGCGTTGAGCTACAGCTCAACGCATTAGCCATCTGATTATCTGTTCTACAGAACAGATAATCAGGTTATGATTGTCCAGGAGCGATGGATTCGTTGTTACAACTAGGTCTGGGTAACACTGTATTGAGTTGTTGCCGCTGTCTGAGTTAACGAGTTATAGCTCATCGGTTAATGAGTTATAGGACATTTTCCCATCAACAGAACTGAGTCCATAGAAAGTCGTTGAGTTTTTTTGTAAAATCGATCTCTTATATTTTTTGCATGAAATTTTCAGTTTTCCAGTAATTTACAGTAAAACGTTAGGAAAAACGCGGTTTTCTGTTTAGAAATATTGAGATAAAAGTGAAGTAACCCCAGTTTTCTCAATAAATGATTATAAACTTTCGCTTTTTCAGTTTATTTTCAGAATTCTCCAAATTATTTTTTGGAAACTTTTGCTCTCGTTAAAAAACTGAATAACATTATTTGGTTTTTGTGCCAAATTCGAAACTGAAATGGGTTTTCTAAAGTTTCCTGCAAACCAATGAATGAGGCGAATTTTGTAATTTTCGGCTGAAAAGACCCCATTATTGTCAGAAAAGAAGAAAATTATCGGAAAATTATTGTGTTTTTGCGTTTTAGATTAACACTTTTAGTTTTGTGATCGGTTTTGGAGAAAAGCTTAATGGTTTTCGGGGAAAAGCGGGATAAATTTATTCGAATTTGACGCTGAAAAAAGTTTTTGTTACATTTTTACAAAGCTATAAATTTTTCTTGTAATTTTCCGCGTAAAAGACCTTCAGACCGTCAGTATTTTTAAGTGAAACTCTACAAAATAGAGCGCTTTTCAGTAAAAAGTGAAGCAAAAAAAATGCAGTCAAAGCTAAAAAACCACATTGTTTTGAAAAACTCTACAGTCTTCAGAGGAATGGAGGTGACGAGATTTCCGAATTAATCTGTTACAAACTTTCGCTTATTCTGTTCGTTTTTTTGATAGAAAATTATTTGATTTGGGTTCCAAATTCGACGCTGGAAAGTGATTACAAAACTTTTTACAAAGCGACAAAGGATTCGAAATTTATTTCATAATTTTTCTCGGAAAATACCTCCTTAGGATTGTCACCATTTTTAAGTGAAACTTAAGAAAGTCGAGCATTTAGAAGAAAGAGTAACTTGGCTAAAACAAGAAAATTCTGATTTTTTGAAGAAATTTTTAAAATATTATTAATAAATGACCCTTAAAATAAATCCAAAAACAAGTAAAAAAAGACATCAAGATTTTCCCAGCAAAGGAACTGAGTTACTGCACCGCTGCGTTGGGTTGGCGCACCCAGCCCTTTGCGTAGCACTGCGCCAACTCCTAAAAATTCATTGAGTCTTCCAAGCTGTTTAAAGGGTGTCCACATTTTGAACTGTTGCGCTAGTAAGCTGAAGATATAAAACTTTTTTATTTTTACATTTAAACCTGGTTGAATTTTCTGCTCCAAATAATTTGCTGCGGCAAAACAACAAAAACGAGGAGGATCGAACGTTTATCATTAGAAATGACTAAAACGGAATCAAGATATTTGGAGTTTAAAGTAGTTTTATTGAAGAATTTGCAGCTTTGCGAGAACTTTCAAGTAGAAAGTAGGTAATTTCAATTCAAAGTGAGAATTCTAGTTCTGGAGTTTGCAAGTCGAAACTTGCAGATTGAAATTGAAACGGTACAGTGTAAATTTCGAGTTTTTATGCTCCAAAGGCAGGCGTTTTCGAATTAACCCTGGGTGACTCAGTTAATTTTTAGGAGTTGGCGCAGTGCTGCGCAAATGGGTTTGAGCACGGGTGCAGTAACTCAGTTCCGTGGCTGGAAAACGCCACTTATAAAAAAATCTGAAATTTTTAAGAATCTTTAAAAATATTTTTAATGAATGGCCCTTACAATAAATCTAAAAAGGAGTAAAAAAAGTCACCAACATTTTCCCGACAACGGAACTGAGTGCTTGCGTGCTTGCGCCACACCAAGCCATTTGCGTCGCACTGCGCCAACTCCTAAAAATTCCCTGAGTTACCTAGGCCTAGTTCTGAGGGTGTTGGTCCCGCACGCTTCTCATTTTTAATCGTAGAATTGGATTCATATTGAGCCCAACCGAGTTTCCTATAAATACGAATCGGAACCCGAAGATACCAAAGAGTGCCGAGCCGCAAGCTTCTATAAGAGGGGAGAACCGGCAGTTCTAAAAGCGAAAAGTGCATTCCGATTTTCGCTGTGTCTGCACGAGTAGTACGCGCGTCCACGAGAGGATTCATACCGGGTGGTACTAGAAAAGTGTGACGCTTTAATTTGTTCAAGTGATATCAGTGATCTGAGAAAGTTTTAAGGAGCCGAAAACAGTAAAGGTACGTATGTGAGCCTGGACCTTTCGAGTGAATCTTTTGGATGATTTGCCGTTGAAAAAGGCTACGGTGGCAGCCAAGTTTCGATTCAGATAAACGGTCGGCAAATAGATAGTAACCTCTAGCCCATAAATCCACTTGCGACCGGAGATAAGGCGGCAAACGCACCGCTTTTGAATGGTGGCTGCTGATACTGAATAGAAACCCCATGCAGAGCAGCACAATTTGGGCTGCAGATGTCGTACAAAGTGCATTTTTTTGCAATCACTGATGGTGGATGCGCATCCGAATGCACCCCAAATATGCAAATTTCCTTGAACCCCAAGAGTCAAAAAACATTCCGCTCCGTTTCGGTCACATACCAGCCAGGCTGGTGGCATTGGCAAAGTTCACCACGTAGAAAAATATCTGATTTTTCTAGGACAATTGTTGCATCACTCTTGAGCGGTAAATTTGTTTAAACGTTTCGGTGCGTCTACTGGCCTCAGTCGTTCTAATCCATCGGTCCAACCGGGGCCAGTTCACTGTTCAATTAAGGTAGGCGTTTGCTCTTCAGTAGCTCAATTTCCGGCTCATTGTGCGGGTTCTGAGCCTCGGCTCAGGGTCGCACTGCGCCCGCCGTTGTTGCATCAGGCTGAATTTCCGACTGATGAATGGTGATTTGGACACACGGTTAATTATTGAATCTGCGATCAACTAGATCGACAGTGAGCGCACAAACCTGTTCTAAAATGCGGAATATTTCGCTTAATTTATACGAACATTTTGCATAACTGGTACGGAAGATTAAAGGCGCGATCGCATTTTTCCATTCGTGTTTGTTTTTCTCGCGCTGCCACACGCTGTTTTTTGTGCATCGCGCTTGCAATGGATCTGCAGACTTTGGTATGTACGCGAATTTGTTCAAATTCAGCGCGCTAAACATTTGTGAATACGGCGCTGTCTACCGCAAATAGACCGGTGGCTCTCGAAAAGGCGCCCGAAAATTAGCTAATTCGGTTGCATTGCCCAATAAATCCGCGTATTAAGATAACGGCGTAATTGGTGATTAAATTTTTCGCATTTCAACGCCGATAAGGGAGCGCCAATTATTTCCTTATACCGGAGCTTAGTGCGGTTTAATTCGGTTTAGCCAACGACATTCATAGAAAGACGATGCCAGTCACTTATACAACATTGAGGGAAATGAATAAAAGTGCTTACAAATCCGAGGACGCAGTCGAGTGGGTGTCGCTACTTTCCGGAAACAAACCAGAGCACGCCAATGACTTTTTTACAAAAAATGAAACTTGTTTTTCGAAATGACGCGCTCAGTTGGGGAGATCAAAACTTTTGAGGATTTTTTTGCCTTGGCCCTAAAATTTATAGTTCTTGATCCAACCAGTTTATAAGTGCACTTTTGTGAGTTTCTTAAGGCGAAAGGGATTGAGCGCAAAAAATGCGCATGCGAAATATTGATTTTTTGCCGAAAATCGTCCTTTTTAAAAAATTAAAAATATTCTCAAAATGCCTTGAAATCTGCATTATTCTGATCTCGGGGAAGCGAAGAATGCAACGAACTAGTTGAAAAACACTCCAGAAGTTTCAGTTCCGAAATAATCGATATTTTCGGTACATTTTTTGCGTTTTTTGAGCAGACACGATCTTTAAGGGATTATTTCTTTCTTATTATTGATCCATCCACTTCATAAGCGCACTTTTGTAAGTTTCTTAAGGTGAAAGGAATCGATGGAGCGCAAAAAACGCGCATGTGCATTTTTGATTTTTAGCAGAAAATTTTGTATGGGGGTCGATTTTTTGAAAAATTCAAAATTTTCTCAAAATGCCTTGAAATCTGCATCATTCCGATCTCAAGGAACCGAAGAATGCAACGAACTAGTTGAAAACGACGCCAGAAATTTCAGTTCCGAAATAATCGGATTTTCGGTACATTTTTTGAGCATTCACGATCTTTAAGGGACGATTTCTTTCTTATTATTGATAAAACCATTGTATATAAATGCACGTTTGTGAGCTTCTCAAGACGAAATATATCGATTGAGCGCAATAAACGCGCAGGCAAAATTTTGATTTTTTGCC